GTCACCAACCCACAACGGGGCCTGGGGGACGGAAAAAATAAGAGTAAAAAGAAATTAAAAATAGAAGAGAAAAATACTAAATTTATCTACACCACGAAGATGCCGGAAAACCAGCTTTTTGAAGTGAGACAGATTGTAAGAGTATGGAAACACAGAAGGCAGAGCATTCCACAGTTTGGCTGTGTGAGGAAAGAAGGATGTACTATAACGGGTTATTCTAGTGTGACCGACATCCATACAGAAACGGTGGGCACCACGGGCAAGACGAGTGTTACGAGCCCACGGCCTTGCCAGCGGTACACAGGATGCTAAATCCACCGAACATTGCCCGTTAAAGTACCTGTAAAAGAGAGAGAGAGTGAAGCAACATTGCGGCGAAGAGAAAGGGAAGAAAGATTATCAACTAAAGGAGGAGAGTTAATAAGACGAAATGCCTTTGATTCCACCCCATTTAACAGTTGGACAGAAGAAGAGTCACCCCAGATATGAGAGCAGTACTCCACGTTAGGACGAATGAATCCCTTATATACTTGAAGCAACCTCTCAGTAGTGAAGTAACTACGGAATTTGTACAGCATTCCCAGCTTTCGGGAGGCAGCTTTAGCAATGTTGTGGATGTGTGGCTTCCAGGACATATTAGTGGAAATGGTGAGGCCTAGCATATCTATTTTAGAATTTGGTAGAACGTTTGCGTCCTGAAATGTGATTGGCTGGAGATCCTCTATTTTGGAAAGTGTAATTGGTAAATAATGTGTTATATTGCTATTGAATTTAACCAAGTTTCTACCTACCCATTCGGAGATGCTGCACAGATCCGCATTGATAGATGAAATGATATCAGCTCTAGAAAAGGATCTACTTTGAGAATTAGGGGGAGGGAAAAATGTGAAGAAGAATGAAGAGTAGAATCATCAGCATAAGAATGAATAGAATTACTTGTGGTGTGAAGTAAATCATTGATACAAAGAAGGAAGAGAGTAGGTGAAAGAACAGAACCCTGTGGGACACCACTATTGGTAGAAAAAGAGCAAGAGATCGATCCGTCGACAACAACTGCCGTGGATCGGTTTTCAAGGAAACTAGAAATTAGAGAAAAAATTGGGGGAGAGAAACCACAAGAGGGAAGTTTAGAAAGCAAGACTTGTGCCATACCCTGTCAAATGCCTTGGGGGTAGCGAGGGCCACGACGACAGTTTCCCCATAATCCCTTAGCCACCTTCAGTGATTGATCTATTATGTGAAACCATTAGCACGCAAACTGTTACATTAAGTCACACAACACAAAGATCTGTACAGACGTAGTGCATTCGTACAGAACAAACCTACACGCTCGCCAAGTTATCATGCAGAACGAATATAAGGAAATACTTTTTCACACAGAAGGTGGTAAACCCATGAAACGGTCTATACCAGTCCAAGCTGTAGAGTCAAGAACAGTACTTGGCTTCAAACCAGGCTATTGGCCTCCTTCACTTGACATGGCTACCTCTAGTGAGTGGCCATTAGGAAAATAAGATAGGTAAATATGCAATTTCAGGCTTCCTTGTAATTTGGATCAGTTACACACAGTGTTTTCCGATGATCTTTACCATTTTCTTTTATAGGACTTCAGCGGGTACTACAATATATTTGGTATTGCTCGACACGATATGATACATATAATTCTGATGATGCGTCACAAGAAATCAGCTTAAAATGTTGAAATACTATTACTTGTCTCACGAACGCAGCTATAAACCTGGTTATGTGAGATGTGCGAGGGCTATTTGACCCATCGTTGGGGGCCAATGACATCTAATACACGTAACATTTGTCCTCTTGTTTACCTGTGAATCACCAACACAAATTAACATTTGACGACGGAACATAGAATGCTTTATCTAGCCTAATTTTAATGGTTTTTAAATTAATGTATTACTAACCTTGTTACGCGCTTAAAGACCTTTGTTGTTGAAGTTCATTAATAACACTTATAACAGCAATAGCCACGACGTCGTCCCTTCAGGATCACCAAATAACCCGCAGCTTTGACACAATAAATCAATCCCAGAAACACTAACAGTTACAAGGTGTTATGTTGGTATTGAGATCACGTGAATATTAAGCGCCCTAGTTTATTTTACCTAATTAAACACCCTAACCTAAACTGGAGTGCCTAATCATCACGTGATCCCATTTACTGGCCCTAGCATCCGTTCCAAGGAGAATGTGGGGGAGCCTACTCGACAAGTCAGTTACGAGTGTAATAAATATTTCATGAGTTTGACCGAGGATCGTCTTAGGAAGGCATTAAATCTGGGTCCTATATAGGGTAAGGCTGATCAGTGAGTAACAATATATATCTACAAAACTAGACTTATAAATGTGTAACTAAATAAACCGAACATTATCCTTAAATTAATGGAGACGTCAATTGGTCATTAAAACACAAAACCAGTCTATTGTTTTGCTGTTGATTTGTTGAGTAAAAAAAATATATAAAAAATAATGGAAATCAATACGCACGAATCGAATCGGTCACAGCTGAAGCAAAAGCTGGGAATACCACCTTAATGTGGTATTCTTAGTAGAAAAGTGTCTTAAGACTGTCTAAAGTTTTAAACTATTGATTGCGAAGATAAAATCCCTAAGGTTCCCGTGTTGTCCGAAATTAAAACAATACCCACAATTGCTAATAAGTTGAAAATAAAATAAATAAAAAATTAAGAATACGCGAGAAGTAGCAGCTTAACAAACAAGTTATCCCAGTGTATAAATAATAGTTTTCTGTGGTCAGATTTTAGGGTAAACTCAAGTTAATGTCAACGCTACGATGAAATAACACCTTATACTGTACAAGATGTTGTATTGCTGTATTAAATAAATTTACATTTCCGTACGTGATTATTATTTTAATACTGTATTTATAGCGTGCTTCAACAGCGAAGGTCTTTAAGCTCAGAACATTAAAGGAATATCCAATAGGAAGAGTACAGATTAGAGTCAAGATAACAGTTAATAATATGGTGAAGGAAGTCGGGGGGAATCTTCTGTTGATGCAGTTAATAAGTTTTCTTTCGTCAGGGTAAAAGTTATACTATTTGTGTGATGCGCCATTTATATTTTTGCAGTTTATGGTGCGTACTGTATAATCAAGGCCCTTTTCGCAAACTAATATTTTTGGGGGATCACCTGAAAATTAGTTCCCCCAAACTTAGTCAACCTGAAGATTATCTACCCAAACACTAACCTAACCTAACCAAACACTAACCTAACCTAACCAAACACTAACATAACCTAACCAAACATTAACCTAACCTAACCAAACACTAACCTAACCTACCCAAACACTAACATAACCTAATCAAACACTAACATAACCTAACCAAACACTAACCTAACCTAACCAAACACTAACCTAACCAAACACTAACCTAACCTAACCAAACACTAACATAACCTAACCAAACACTAACATAACCTAACCAAACACTAACATAACCTAACGGAACTTAACCTAACCTCCCACCAGGTCGCGTTAGGGTGTTTAATCCTCAGGTGAAATAAGTTAGAGACTAATGCTCGTGTGATCCTTTTTGAGAGAGAGAGAGAGAGAGAGAGAGTGTGAGTGTGTGTGTGTGTGTGTGTGTGTCGACTTCAAACTAAATTTACGTGTTGATAAGAGATGATACGGACATTATAATCAGCTCTAGATAACACTGGTCTTGTACACACATGATTTGAAGCACTTCACTGGCGGGTTAAAGCGTTCAGGAAAGGGAAGGACTAGGCGGTCGCTCACGTATTGTATATACTAGTTAAGGTCCGGATTCATACATTAAATTTTAGAAATGTAGTCCCCTATCCCGACACCATTAAGAATTACTGCAACACATGAGGATTTAGCCCACGAGCTTATTTCACCTAATAATTCAACACCCTAACACGACCTGATGGGAGGTTAGGTTAGGTCATGTTAGGTTACATTAGATTATAAGTTAGGTTAGGGTAGCGTTAGGTTAGGTTAGATTAGGTTAGGTTAGGCTACGTTAGGTTAGGGTAGCGTTAGGTTAGGTTAGATTAGGTTAGATTAGGTTAGGTTAGGTTAGGTTAGGGCGTTTGATTATTAGGTGAAAACAGCTGGGGTGCCTATTATTCAGGTGATCAATTTGGTAAAGCTCTGATGGTCTACCCATATAAGACGTATATAAATGTTATCAATGACAAATCAAGACTAAAGTCACATTGTAGTTAACATATCAGATTTAACTTAACCTAAACTAACCTAAACTAACATATCCAAAAATAGTAGTCAAACCTCATTATAATTAACTTAATCTAGCCTACCTAACTAACTAACCTACCTTAACTTAATCTAGCCTACCTAACTAACTAACCTACCTTAACTTAATCTAGCCTACCTAACTAACTAACCTACCTTAACTTAATCTAGCCTACCTAACTAACTAACCTACCTTAACTTAATCTAGCCTACCTAACTAACTAACCTACCTTAACTTAATCTAGCCTTAACTAACTAACCTTTTCTAACTAATAACCCTAGCCTAACCCAAATTAAACTAACTAACCAACCAACCAACCAACCAACCTTAACTTAACTTAACTTAACATAACATAACATAACATAACATAACCTAACCTAACCTAACCTAGATATTTAGTTTACTCCATAGAGGGAAGGTAGTGGCTACAGGCATGAAGACAGACGCTGACACTCATAATATAAACCTTTCACAGATAAACCAGATTATAAAGATAAACACTGAAGTAATGTAACTGCGACCGATACCATGTCAACATTCTGTCCACCTGATAAAACAATGAGTGACCTGTCTATCAGCACACCTGATTACTGCTGATAAGATAACACCTTATGTCAACCCATTGCGGCAAGAAAGTTCTAACCAACGTTGGAGATTATGGTCGTGCAACTCATGTCTCGTTTAGAGTAGAACCGCCGTAAAGGTGTATAGATGTTATCTGAGTGCGGCTGGTGAGTGGGGGCTTTCGTCTGTACACCACCATAAGGGAGTCTACAGAACTGTAGTTCGCACTGGGCCTCCTAATTAGTGTGTTGTGTGGTGGTGAGAAGGATCTGCCCTATTCATTCGTTTACCTTATTGTGATCGTGTGTTAAGAAGATGTTACAGAGAGCCGGGATGATGAGAGTCGCTGTGGTACTGGTGATCCAGTTGGGTATGTTGTTGTGTCGACTTTATTACCTGTGATTTGTATAGACTCACGTTTATGACTACTTTATGGCGCAGGTGTACAGTATATGACACGTGTCGCTGTTGCAGGAGTCAGGAAAAAGCCTTAGGGTATTTGCTGGAAACAAGGCTAACACAGTACTTGGTTTCATACAAAGGAGTGTTAGTTACAAGACTAGAGAGGTTATCCTAAAACTATATCTTGGGGGACCTCACTTGGATTATGAAGTTCAGTTCTGGTCACCGTCCTACAGAATGGATATCGAATCCCTAGAAAGAATGCAGTGCAGAGGAGAATGACAAGACTCATCCCGGTCATTAGAAATCTTGAGTATAGAGACAGATTAAAGCATCTTAATTTGCATTCCCTCGAGAGACGTAGAGTGAGGGGCGATATAATTAAGGTGTAACAAATGGAAGTCAAGGTTAAACACTGGTGATATGTCAAAGGTGCTTAAATTATCCAACCAGGAACAAACTCGTAGCATTGGTTTTAAATTAGATAGATTTAGTTTTAGGCACGAGATAAGTAAACACTGGTTTGGAAATATAATAGTGGATGAGTGGAACAAGTTACCAAACATCATCATTAACTCGAACACGCTGGATAGCTTCAAACATAGGTTGGGCGGATATATGAGAGATAGGGTTTGGGTGTAAACGGGACTGCCCAGTATGGGCTAATAGACCCGCTGCAGTTTCCTCTATTCGTAGTTTTAGTGTTCCTGGCCACCCATCGTGGTTTTAATGTTCCTGTCCACCCATCGTGGTTTTAATGTTCCTGTCCACCCATCGTGGTTTTAGTGTGCCTTGCCACACATCGCCGTGGCTCAGCAGATGGACAGTAACTAAGTACGACCGTAAACTTTTGTGTTGTTTCCTTAACGAGGTGAAGTTATACAACCCAGAGGGGACCCCGAATACAAGGTGTTAGTGAGCTATTTCCTCCAACAACTGGCTACCATCATTCCTGCGCATGAGTTGTTGTGTATGTATATATATATATATATATATATATATATATATATATATATATATATATATATATATATATATATATATATATATATATATATATATATATATATATATATTGCATAGAGACATTAAATTCATTTCGTCGCTGACTGTGTATTTTCAATAAGAATGCATTAGATAACAGCTTTAGCAGTATGTGTATTAAACTGGTCGTGTGTGTTGATACAAATGTTTGCATCAGAAATTAGGCTCATGTGACTTTTGGGGGCAATAACAACATTAATACCAATCTACATAAACAGCACTAACACTTGGCCACCCCCCACCTCCAGGATACGTGACAGGTGTGCCGCCCAGCAAACCCTACACCTGTCGGGGCCTCAACACCAACCAAGCCTGTGTCCCCTCTGAGCCCCAGGAGTACAACAACGTCGAACCTGCCCCCACTATTGTAAGATAAATAATTAATCTATTATTATTATGTAAGCCCGTGTGTCCATATCCTTTACAGAGTTGGTGTGTAACACTTGTTAGTTCTCTTTTATTATTATGTAAGCCCGTGTGTCCATATCCTTTACAGAGTTGGTGGGTAACACTTGTTAGTTCTTCAGGTGGCTGGTGAAGATTTATTAACTGTATTTCATGGATTCTCATTGCGGAGATATATATATATATATATATATATATATATATATATATATATATATATATATATATATATATATATATATATATATATAGAAATGTGCTATAATTTACACCATACACACATCTAAACACCAAGACCTTTTATATACAAACATTGTGTTAATCCAGCGCAATGTATATACAATCGACGGAAACAACGGCACTATAAAAGTAAACAAGGACCGACAGTAGTACCTTACTGCACCAACAGTGAGACTCTCTGGTTGATCCCGGAATGAGGGAGGCGAACAACCCCAAAAAGATCACCTCTCACCCTACAGTACACAGACCTTCAGCAGCCCCTACAGCAACATCCACGGCTCCAAGCTCACCAACTTCACCGGGGGACTTTGTCCTGGTAGGTGCAGGTGGGTAGGTGCAGGTGGGTACTAGTGGGCACAGGTGGGTACTAATGGGCACAGGTGGGTACTAATGGGCACAGGTGGCTACTAGTGGGCACAGGTGGGTACTAATGGGCACTGGTGGGTACTAATGGGTGCAGGTGTTTATCAAAGTAGTTTATACAGTGGTGAATGAACTCTCTCGTTTAATAGCGTGTGTGTGTGTGTGTGGCGTATATACCCTATAATGTACTTTTGTATATCTACCTGTATGATTATATATGTACGTTAAGTGCAGGTGAATTTATCAGTACCGGAATCTTGTGGTGTGGTATAGGTGAGGACATCCTGGGAGGGAACGAACTCATGTTTTTTGGCCAACGGAAAGAGAAGCAGAAGGTGGTGGTGCCTGGCGGAGTGGCTCACGTCTTCCTCTACTCCACTAACTCCACCTTCAACGCTACGGGCTTCACCATCACCTACAATATTACAGGTAAGACCCTACACCTTCAACGCTACGGACTTCACCATCACCTACAATATTACAGGTAAGACCCTACACCTTCAACGCTACGGGCTTCACCATCACCTACAATATTACAGGTAAGACCCTACACCTTCAACGCTACGGGCTTCACCATCACCTACAAAACGACAGGTAAGACCCTACACCTTCCTTCCTACACTGTAAGTATATAATGTGTTTATGTCGAGTTGGTAAGATATCTTAACCCCCATGAGTACGATGACGTTACTCCTCGATTACAATGATAGAGTATTCAAGGGGTTAAATCTTCTTACTCAAGGGGTTAAATCTTCTTACTCAAGGGGTTAAATCTTCTTACTCAAGGGGTTAAATCTTCTTACTCAAGGGGTTAAATCTTCTTACTCAAGGGGTTAAATCTTCTTACTCAAGGGGTTAAATCTTCTTACTCAAGGGGTTAAATCTTCGAACTCAAGGGGTTAAATCTTCGTAATCAAGGGGTTAAATCTTCGTATTCAAGGGGGTTCAAGCTTCGTATTCAAGGGGGTTCAAGCTTCGTAATCAAGGGGTTCAAGCTTCGTAATCAAGGGGTTCAATCTTCGTACTCAAGGGGTTCAATCTTCGTACTCAATGGTGTTACCACATAGTACAGGGTTAATCATCGTACACACATTATTATTATTATTATTATTATTATTATTATTATTATTATTATTATATGCTCTCTTTCTCTGACCTTCTTGACCTCGTTGATCCCCACAGAAGAGGTCACGACCCCGGCACCCATCACCACTACACCCACACCTATCTTACCTGACGCCTTTGTGCCAATCAACGGTATTCCCACCACTAAAGTAAGCTATTATGACTCTGTGTACCGTTATCTGTGTGTACCGTTGTCTGTGTGTACTGTTGTTTGTGTACCGTTGTATATGTTTACCCTTTTAGGTTTATCATTGTGTGTACCGTTATCTGTGTGTACCGTTCTGTGTATGTGTATTATTGTTTGTGTAAACGCCTTAGTTAAGGACGTTCAGGTGACGGGCAAGTCGAAGGGAATGATTGAAACCCGTCTTTTGACGCATTCAATATTTATTGATGTGATCAAAACCGGCAGACAACAAGGCGTTCATTAGTATTACATGGTGATCTATCTGATACATAATAAGTTAGTTTCACACAATTTATCTTAATTATAATTGATTATTGATTCCGCGTTGTCTTATTGCTCCAGATAAGGCAGGAACGAGTAGGCATAATTAGTCCACAATATTTCAGTACTGAGGGGTATGTCATCACTTTGGCTGTACTTACAAGTGCGGGTCAATGCGAACCAGTATGGTGTTCCAAAGGAAGATAGTTCTGTGTAAATTGTTCCAGTACAAAACTCGGCCAGGATTGAGAGTTGTTGTTCACCACTGCTAGCAGAGGGCCGGTCCTCACAGCATCACTTGAGGGGGCAGTCTCCTGGAGTCCAGGTGGCCACGCCGCCTTTTAAACCATACATTAACAGAGTCATGATCTCTTCTCCGTAAACACCGCCCACCCCCTAATCTTTGTTCGGGTAAGGCAGCAAAAACGTCAGCACTGACACTAGTGTTGACGCCAACGATGAAACACTCCCGGTGATGCCAGCACTTACGCTGCAAGGATATACCCTGGTGCAACACCGCTTCAGCCGCCACATTTGTCGAGGTAACAGGTCGCGTGGTGGACGGTGGGGGGCATCACTCGAGAGGGCGAACTGTGTCATGAGATCCATGACACCCTCTCAGCGCTCACGCCAGTGGTGATGTCACTCCCGGCGGTAAACACCGCCCCCCTCCCCCCCAGTCGCTACATCTGGTGTGGTAACAGGCCGCGTGTGGGGTGGGGGAGGCACATGGTTGTTGACACCAACGACAAAGCCAGCGGCGATAACAGTTTGCGTGTACCGTTTTAGGTGTACCGATATCTGTATGTACCGTTATCCATGTGTACCGATATATGTATGTACCGTTATGCGTGTACCGTTGATTTACTAGAGATAAAGTACTGTACGTGTCACTTAGAGCTGATATATTTTACCTGTATATATAACCAATAAATAGAACGAATTAATTTACCTGTTAATTAAATAAAGCAAATTAATAATTTACATGTTCAGACAAGAGTTAATCACTAGCTTAATTCACTAGCTTATCTACAGGAGCTATTTAATTTACGTGAAACTCTTGAGTCTATCCAAATGAGCTATTATATACCTGCCAATTCACTAGAGGTAAATTATCTGTTGAGACTAGTGCTATTTAATATATATATATATATATATAATTTATTATAGTTAATTAATTATATCTCCAGTGGAAAGATTATAACAGCTCCTTCACTCAAGCCATAGCGGGCATGTCTACCGACTACGTACACAATGTCTTAGGCTACGTTAATCAACCAAACATCACGTGAGTAATATTATGTCTGGGGGCTACATTACCTGTTATGTCTGGGGGCTACATTACCTGTTATGTCTGGGGGCTACATTACCTGTTATGTCTGGGGGCTACATTACCTGTTATGTCTGGGGGCTACATTACCTGTTATGCAGGGGCACCATTACCTGTGTATGTCTGAGGCTACCCCACCTGTGTATGTCTGGGGGCACTACATGCCTGTTATGTCTGGGGGCTACATCACCTGTTATCATAGGGGCTACACTTACCTGTTATGCTATGTCTGGGGGCTACACTTATGTCTAGGGGCTACACCTGTTATGTCTGGGGCTACACTTCTCTGTTATGTCTGGGGCTACGCCATCTGTATGTCTGAGGCTACATTACCTGTTATGTCTGGGGACTGCACATGCCTGTTGTGTCCTAGAGCCATTACATGTTATGTCTGGGGACTACACTGCCTGTTATGTCTGGGGCTACACTGCCTGTTATGTCTGGGGCTTACACTGCCTGTTATGTCTGGGGCTACATTGCCTGTGTTATGTGCAGGGGCTACATGCCTGTTATGTCTGGGGCTACACTGCCTGTTGTGTCCTGGGGACTACACTGCCTGTTATGTCTGGGGATTGCACTACCTGTGTATACAGGGGCTACATTACCTGTTATGTCTGGGGCCTGCACTACCTGTTATGTCTGGGGCTACGTACCTGTTATGTCTTGGGGGCTACACACTACCTGTTATGTCTGGGACTACATTACCTGTTATGTCTGGGGCTACACTGCCTGTGTTATGTCTGGGGAGCTACACTGCCTGTTATGTCTGGGGACTACACTGCCTGTTATGTCTGGGATTACACTACCTGCAGCATATGCAGGGCTACATGCCTGTGTTATGTCTGGGGCTACACACCTGTTATGTCTGGGGCTACACTACCTGTATGTCTGGGGCTACATTACCTGTTATGTCTGGGCTACCTGTTATGTCTGGGGACTACACTGCCTGTTATGTCTGGGGACTACACTGCCTGTTATGTCTGGGGACTACACTGCCTGTTATGTCTGGGGACTACACTACCTGTTATGTCTGGGGACTACACTGCCTGTTATGTCTGGGGACTACACTGCCTGTTATGTCTGGGGACTACACTGCCTGTTATGTCTGGGGACTACACTGCCTGTTATGTCTGGGGACTACACTACCTGTTATGCTATGTCTGGGGCTAAGTTACGTGTTATGATATATCTGAGGGTTAAATGGTGTGAACCCTTTAAGTACGATAACATAACCCCCTTGAGTACGGTTTAACTTTCTGAGTACAATTCAAAGTGTTAAGTTATCGTACTCAACAAGTTTAGCCCTCTTAAGTCTTCTTCCTTTAGGTGTTAAGTTATCGTACTGAAAGTGTTAAGTTATCGTACTAAAGGGGTTAAGTTATCGTACTAAAGGGGTTAAGTTATCGCACTCAAGGGGTTAAGTTATCGTACTCAAGGGGTTAAGTTATCGTACTAAAGGGGTTAAGTTATCGTACTAAAGGGGTTAATGGGATATACAATAAGCAGTCGATTTATGGTAAAGAAAGCAAGAATAACTTAGTGGTTTCATCGCAGTATCCTACTCAGCAGAAAGAGTCCTGCAGTAATGTGAGGGAGAATAAAGTCCTTCCCTCCTTCACAGATCCACCATGGTATTGATCCAAGACATCAAGTCCTGCAACCCCTTCAGATGCCAAAAGGACTGTGTGGCGTATGACTTCAGCATAGACTCGGACCTGTTCACCAAGTACACACTCGACCAGATGTTGAATACTGAGAGTCTACATCACTATATCACCCAGGTTAATGAGGGAAGTCAGGTAGGTTGGAGTGTAGGTTTTAATTACATTACTTAAAGTGAATTACCTGAAGATTAAGTGTGCCCTCTCTCTCCCCACCTTATTTCACCTGATGATTAGACACCTTATACACCTAGAGGGGATTAGGTTAGGTTAGGTTAGGTTAGGTTAGGTTCCATCGACATTAATCTGTGATCTTCCTTGTACCACAACTAAACCAAAAAAGTTCATTTGCTTCCTTAACACCATGACTCACTACATAACTACACAGACAAACCCAACACAATCGTTATACCCCCCCCCCCCGTAGTATATTAACCTACCATAAGGGAGATAAAAATAGGATGTGGTAGAAAGATTAATATTTGTTGGTGAAATAATAATAATAAAAAAATAAAAAACTTATATGAGAAAGACTTCAGAGTAAGAGATCGTTTGTGTTGGACAGATCTGTGAAGAGCACCCGACCATCTCGCTGACTAGGTACGTGGCAGTGCCTGTGTTTATCCTCATCTTCGGCATCGTTATTTCCGCCTTATTCTGGAAGTACAGCGAGAAGGGTTCCTTGACTGAGTGAGTACTGAGTGATAACATTCTTACACACTTAAGCATTGGAATACACTTACACGCTTAAACACTTATATATTTAAGACACTTATATTCTTAACTCAGACTTGAAAGATATGAAGATTGTGCGTTTGTCTTGTCCGTCTCCTCTCACTTCTACCCTCACACTGTCCCTCTCCTCTCACTTCTACCCTCACACTGTCCCTCTCCTCTCACTTCTACCCTCACACTGTCCCTCTCCTCTCACTTCTACCCTCACACTGTCCCTCTCCTCTCACTTCTACCCTCACACTGTCCCTCTCCTCACTTCTACCCTCACACTGTCCCTCCCTCTCACTTCTACCCTCCTGTCCCTCTCCTCTCACTTCTACCCCTCACACTGTCCCTCTCCTCTCACTTCTACCCTCACACTGTCCCTCTCCTCTCACTTCTACCCTCACACTGTCCCTCTCCTCTCACTTCTACCCTCACACTGTCCCTCTCCTCTCACTTCTACCCTCACAGTCTCTCGCCTCCCTCTGTCCCTCTCCTCTCACTTCTACCCTCACACTGTCCCTCTCCTCTCACTTCTACCCTCACACTGTCCCTCTCCTCTCACTTCTACCCTCACACTGTCCCTCTCCTCTCACTTCTACCCTCACACTGTCCCTCTCCCCTCACCCCTACCCTCACACTGACCACCTCCTCCACCTCTCCCTCCTCCAGGAAGCGCCTCAAGTACGAGACGGAGCAGCAGGATCGTTGGGATGACCAGAGGCGACGGTCTTCCGCTAACGCGTCTATCCTAGGTCTTGGACGGCCTGCATCCTTCGCATCCCGAGGATCTCGGAGTTCGATACCCTTCCCCAAGTCCAAAGGCGCCCAGGACTACGACTCGGATGACAATGTGGTATGTGTCCTTCACTGTTTGTTTTTCTGTCTATCTTTCTGTCTATCTATCTATCTGTCTGTCTGTCTGTCTGTCTGTCTGTCTGTGCCCTTACTTCTCTTCTCTTCTCTCCTCAGGGCTTCGACATGAGCGATTTCCGTGAATATGACCCCGACATGGGCACCGTTGACCCCACCCAGTTTGGCCTGGATAAAGGTTAGCCGAGTCATCATTTTTAAGGTCAGTAGAGTCATCATTTTAAAGGCTAGCCGAGTCATCACTTTTGAGGTTAGTTGAGTGATCACTTTAAGGTTAGTAGAATGATTACTTTTAGAATACACACACACACACACACACACACACACACACCACTGGCCTGTAATACCATCTCGTGGGAATTACTGAGGATGATCGTTATACAGGTGAGGGATGAGGATGAAGGGTGAGGATGGGTGGTGTGGATGAGTGGTGAGTGAGGATGAGGGGTGTGGATGAGTGTTGAGTGAGGATGGGGAATGAGGATGATGGGTGTGGATGAGAGGTGAGGATGATAGGTGAAGATGAGTGGTGTGGATGGGTGGTGAGGCTGAGAGGTGTGGATGAGGGGTGAGGATGAGAGGTGTGGATGAGGGGTGAGGATGAGTGTTGTGGGCGGATGATGAGAGGTGATGATGAGTGGTGAGGATGGAATGTGAGGATGAGTGGTGAGGATGAGTAGTGTGGATGAGTGGTGGGGATGAGAGGTGTGGATGGGTGGTGAGGATGAGAGGTGTGGATGGGTGGTGAGGAGTGCAGGAGTATATGATGTACAAAATATGTTGATTGATGTTGTGCTAATGTACATATAAATGACGTACTAACATGCTTGTACTTTTCTCCCTCCCTCCCACCACACTGTACTCCCGGGTGGTCCAGACTTCACCAGGGATCGGCAGGTGATGGGCTTCTACACCAACCAGGCCTTCGTGCCCGACGAGGAGGTCACCGTGTACCAACGAGACGGTCCTTCTCACAGTTTGGCCGACACAGACAGCGAGGACTCCAATGACGGTGGGGCCATCAGCTTCCGTGACTCCCAGAATAGCTTGAGGTGTGTGTGTGTCTCTCTCTCTCTCTTTCCTCTCAACGTCTTAAACTCTATCACAGAAAGTTAATAAAAAAACGTGAAGTCATACATAGAATACATAACTAACTTAAATTAGTTTCAATTCATATCTGTTTTTTACGGTTTGTCAGATATGTGCTTATATTCTCGATCAGTTTAATCTAAAATACGTCGTCGTTTTCCAGTAAGACACCACAAAGCCAGGTCGTGTCGGCAGACGTGCACACCGTCGACGATAACGAAGAAACGACGCTGTAAACCCTCCAGACGGTGCCACTCTTGTCCTAGGAGCTACAGTACTGGCTATGCACCTTAACCTCCCCTCGCACACCCTTCAGGGAACCTACTAACTCCTACAACCCACCATCTATCTGGCACAACCGTCCAGGGAGTGACTAACTGATCCATCTCCCACACCTAACGCGTCTCAGACTACACCTCTCACGGCCTTCACAGATTCGCCAGGGAACACTTCTCACACCAAGATGACGGTGCTCGGATCATCAACATGTCCCCACGAGGACCAGGAACAAAACTTAGTCAATAACTACGACACTACAAATATGGGCGAACTTCGTTAAAGCGATGACTGACAAATCATAGGTTGTGTGTTGGTGTTGTGTGTATCAAGGGACCTTCAGTAGCCCACATACAGCCCGAAGTGTCTTGTGATGTGTGTGGCGTTAAGATAGTATATTATCTTACACATGTGACTCTCTTATTAAAGCTACGGATTAGCTGTATGTGATTTATATGCCAATACTTTTATTACAAACTTTTATGTATAGCTTTAAGTTCATTACTGACACTGTACCTCACTGTAACTTACTGTACCCCCGTATTGTTCTCGCCCTTATCAATTAGTATTATATAAATATGGGTTAAGGACATATATTCATTATATACATTCTATCACCCAGACTATTGAGCATACAGCTACATAAGCATTTGTTCTGTCACACCTCCTAGGGTGGACAGCACATAAACATTTGTTGTTTCACACAGACTCAAGTTACAACCCATAAATATATGTCCCCAGGCCTCCGTGTGAGAGTAGGCCTGTGTAGTGTAGCCTTTATCTCTGTGTTGACGTAGTAAATTAACCCCCTCCCCCATACAACCAGACATAGAGAGGTCGGCTGGTTCACAGTTTCCCACAGTTCACAGTTCACAGCCAGACACCGTACCAAAGAGACGTGTTGTGAGCATAGCTTCCAGGCTGTATCTCTCTCTCTAATTATATCAGCTAATCACAAGCTAATAGCTAATGCTCAGTAGTCTGTAAACAAACAATTCTGTAACTACCAGAGTATCCAATATAACTAGAAAATCACCACGTGTGTTTACATTAAACCAAGGAACCACAAATGAAGATAACAGAACCTGTGTACACTTGTGTAACTTACAAGCTAAGATAATTACAAGTGTAACCCACGTGGGCTGGGACGATTCAAAGATTCAAACTACGACTGTATCAAAGGTGACACGCCGTGAGACTACCTATTATCTCACCCAGCTTCATCAAAGGTACTAGCGACTACCCTACACTCATTCATGCAAGTGTTAACAAGTGAGATCGTTTGATATCGAACCCCGGCCCAAACAGTATGTTTACTTATTGTTATACTGTGGAACAATAAATATGATAAAAAAAAAAACAATTGATCAGGTACAGTTATCGAATATATTTTTGTGTGTGTACTATTTCGTAAGATTAAAATAATTACACATTTGGTTCATTTAAGTTACTATGATGTTAAGTCACTCTTTCACTGATTACCTTTATATATTATAATAGATATATAAATATTGTACGTGTTTCCTTTACTATTGGTCCTACCGATACACTAATGATCAATTAGTTACGTATTAAAGATCATCTATTATAATTATTTTATTTAGTGAGAAATGCAATATTATGGGAGGAAAATCTCTTGATAATTACTATATGTGTATTGAGGTTATTCCCTGTTGGTGTTATTACATGTACTAATATTTACATAAATCGTAGTACAGAGTATTACATAATCAAAACACCGATCGACTCACCTGTGCTATAATGTATCCTATTATTACATGTATTGTAATTCGATACACAGGATGATACAAGCACGAAACACTATACTTATACATTGAGAACACAGTGCGATAAACTACTGAACAGGGGTTTATCAGTCACTAAGCTATTTTATGAGTCTAGTGTATTACGATCGGCAACACACACAGAGAAACTTTTATTTTATTACTTAAATTTCCGTAACACAGATTGTATATAATATCACCACGATGATAACATTAGATAAAAGACCGTACTGTGCTATGAGGTGAAGTTGGGGAACGGGTTGCAGTGTGTGTGTGTGTGTGTGTGTGAAGAGAGAGAGGGAGAGGTTGTGTTCCGACAGGTGTCTCAAAACAGAATGAATTCAGATGTTCGACGTACCGTATATTGAATATGTTGTTTACGATTTCTACTCAGGCGATCGTTGTCTGTAGAGGGCAGGTGTTTTGCAGCACAAGTGTTCAGTGTACTGTACATGTCTAATAAAACAACGTGACAGCTGTACATAACCTACCTTAAACCTGATCATTGTAATTGGGTGATCATTGTACAACTCAAACATTCACTGTACAACCCAAGCGTTCACTGTACAACTCAAGCGTTCACTGTACAACTCAAGCGTTCACTGTACAACTCAAGCGTTCACTGTACAACCCAAGCGTTCACTGTACAACTCAAGCGTTCACTGTACAACTCAAGCGTTCACTGTACAACTCAAGCCTTCACTGTACAACTTAAGCGTTCACTGTACAACTCAAGCGTTCACTGTACAACTCAAGATGCTCAAGATGATGTTCTTCTGTGCGCTGCTAACGGGTAAGTGTAGATTAGTCGGCCAGGGTGTAGATGTGTAGACCAGGGTGTAGATATGTTGGCCAGGGTGTAGATATGTTGGCCAGGGTGTAGATATGTTGGCCAGGGTGTAGATACGTTGGCCAGGGTGTAGATGTGTTGGCCAGGGTGTAGATGTGTAGACCAGGGTGTAGAATGTGTAGACCAGGGGTGTGTAGATATGTTGGCCAGGGTGTAGATATGTTGGCCAGGGTGGCCAGATATATGTTGGCCAGGGTGTAGATACGTTGGCCAGGTGTAGATATGTTGGCCAGGGGTGTAGATACGTTGGCCAGGGTGTAGATATGTTGGCCAGGTGTAGATATGTTGGGCTGTGGGTGTATGCGTTGGCCAGGTGTCAGGCCAGGGTGTGGCCAGGGTGTAGATATACCAGGGTGTAGATATGTTGGCCAGGGGGTGTGATGTGTGACCAGGGTGTAGATATGTTGGGGGTGTTGGCAATGTGGCAGGGTGTAGATATGTTGGCCAGGGTGTAGGCCAGGGTGTAGATATGTTGGCCAGGTGTAGATGCGTTGGCCAGGGTAGTGTGTAGACCAGGTGTAGATATGTTGGCCAGGGTGTAGATATGTTGGCCAGGGTGTAGATATGTTGGCCAGGGTGTGATATATGGGGGTGTAGATATGTAGCCAGGGGTGTAGGTTGGCAGATATGTTGGCCAGGGTGTAGATATGTTGGCCAGGGTGTAGATATGTTGGCCAGGGTGTAGATACGTTGGCAGGGTGTTTTGGCCCAGGTGTAGATGCCAGGGTACGTTGGCCAGGTGTAGATGCGTTGGCCAGGGTGTAGATGACAGGGTGTAGATGTGTAGACCTAGGTGTAGATATGTTGGCCAGGGTGTAGATGTGTAAGGGGGTGTAGATATGTTGGCCAGGTGTGTAGATATGTTGGCCAGGGTGTAGATATGTTGGCAGGGTGTAGATATGTTGGCCAGGGTGTAGATATGTTGGCCAGGGTGTAGATATGTTGGCCAGGGTGTAGATATGTTGGCCAGGTGTAGATAGATAGTTGGGGTGTAGATATGTTGGCCAGGTGTAGATATGTTGGCTGGGGTGTAGATATAACAGGGTGTAGATATGGCCAGGGTAGATATGTTGGCCAGGGTGTAGATATATATGTTGGCCAGGTGTAGATATGTTGGCCAGGGTGTAGATGTGTAGACCAGGTGTAGATACGTTGGCAAGGGTGTAGATATGTTGGCCAGTAGATGTTATAGATTGGCCAGGGTGTAGATATATAAGGGTGTAGATATGTTGGCCAGGGTGTAGATATGTTGGCTTTTTAAACTATTACTGACTATTTTGTAATTTATACTGTATGATCTTCCTCACACACCTCTTGAATAATACCGATCACCTTCCTATATCTCCCATGATCTTCCTCACACCTGTCAGAATCTTTTTCAGATCTCTCCACGCCTGTCAAGAATGTCCTCACACCTCTCAACATCTGTCAAGATCTTCTTCACACCCCTCTACACCTATCAAGATCTTCCTCACACCCCTCTACACCTGTCAAGATCTTCCTCACACCCCTCCACACCTGTCAGAATCTTCATACCTACTCATTATTGTCAGTATCTCCCAAACTGTTAGTATCTTTCTCATAACCCTCAACATATTTCAGTCTCACTCACAACCCTTCACAAAGATCAAATAAAAAAAATGACAGGACCCTTTTGACATTTTTCCACGTCTTACATGATTAACTGAAATCTGTATTTTTCAGCTGGGGTCCTTGTGGTCAGCTCATTAACAGGTGAGAATAAGAACGCTAGCACCTGGTCGTTCAACCCCTCACTCCTTCCCACTGGGGCCAATACGTCCTCTCCTGCCTCACGGACAGCGATACAGCACCCAAACCACCCCACAGGAAGCAGGCAATTCCAGGTAGAGAGAGAGAGAGAGAGAGAGAGAGAGAGAGAGAATGTGTGTGTGTGTGTGTGTGTGTGTGCGTGTGTGTTTTAAGGTTTCTCTGATTATACAGTATCTGAATTCTGTCAAAAGTAAGAACCATTTAAGAAGAACATAAGAACATAAGAATGGAGGAAACTGCAGCGGGCCGATTGGCCCATACTGGGCAGTCCCGTTTACACCCAACCCCTATTGCTCATATAAGCATCCAACCTATGTTTGAAGCTATTCAGCGTATTCGAGTTAATGATGATATTTGGTAACTTGTTCCATTCATCCACTACTCTGTTTCCAAACCAGTGTTTACCTATTTCACGCCTAAATCTAAATTTGTCTAATTTAAAACCATTGTTACGAGTTAAGCTCCTGGTTGGATAGTTTGGAGTACCTTTGTATTAATCCTTTGTTTAGCCCTGCCTTCCACTTATACACACTCTATCAGGTCGCCCCTCGCTCTACGTCTCTCGAAGGAGTGCAAATTAAGATGTTGTAACCTGTCTCTATACTCAAGGTTCCTAATGCCCGGGATTAGTCTTGTCATTCTCCTCTGAATTCTTTCCAATGATTCTATATCCATCCTGTAATACGGTGACCAGAACTGAACTGCGTAATCCAGGTGTGGTCTCACAAGCACAAGATACAGTTTTAGGATGACCTCGCTAGTCTTGTAACTAACACTCCTTTGTATGAACCAAAGTACTTTATTAGCCTTGTTACGAGCAAAAACACATTGTTTACTTGGCTTAAGGTTCCTGCTTATCATTACTCCTAAATCTCTCTCGCAGTCGGATTTCTCTATGGCATCGTTGTTCATCTGGTATCTGGTTTCCCTGTTTACATCTCCTATACTGAGCACTTTACATTTGTCGACGTTGAATTTCATCTGCCATTTTTCAGACCATTCGAAAAATTTGTTTAAATCTTCCTGTAGTTTTGCCGAGTCCTCGTCAGATTTAATAACACGTCCTATTTTAGTGTCATCAGCAAATTTGCTTATGTTGCTGTCTATGCCGATATCTATGTCGTTTATGTATATAATAAATAATAATGGTCAAAGTACTGAGCCTTGGGGAACTCCACTTGTGACGTTGCTCCAATGGGACTTAGTGCCATTAATGCTCACTCGCTGTTTCCTGTCCTGTAACCACACCCTAATCCATTTAAGGATATTACCTTTGATGCCATGTGCTTCTACCTTTCTAATTAGTCTTTCGTGGGGGACTCTGTCGAAGGCTTTGCTAAAGTCGAGATATACCACATCATAATTGTGCCCCTCGTCCACCGATTCGAAAACTAATGAAAAGAATGTTAATAGATTAGTTAGACATGAACGTCCGCTTGTGAAGCCATGCTGGGAATCATTGATCAATCCGTGCTTCTCCAGGTGATTTTGAATAGAGTTTGAAATGATTTCTTCCAGTAATTTGCCTACTATTGATGTTAGATTGATTGGGCGGTAGTTAGAGGATAGTGATCTATCCCCTTCTTGAAAATCGGTATTACATTCGCTATCCTCCAGGATTCTGGGTACTACACCTGTTTTAAATGACATGCTTAAACAATTTGCTATGGGCATACTAAGCACTTTTCCTTACATTCCTTAATACTCTGGCAACATCTAATCGGGGCCAGGTGACTATCAGGCTTTAGTTTGTCTATTTGCTCACTAACATCAAGCTTACTAGTCACTACTATCTCGCTTAATTTGTTTTCTTCACTATCTCTGTTGTGAGTTTGTATCATGTTTAAATTTTCGTAGAAAACTGTTGTGTAACATTTATTCAAATTTACGTTTATTTCTTCGCTTCGCATTTCAGTAAGCTCAGAGTATATCTGACAGTATTGTCCAATCTTTTCTCGTGTTTTAGTTTGATACATTTAGAATCTTGGGTTTGTTCGCCTCCTTTACATTCCAATCATTATTCTCCTGGCTTCTTTTTGCCATTTAAACTCCAACTCGCCAATACTCCTATAATAACCTTATAAATTTATTGCTAATTTATCCTTCTACCCATAGCCTTCCTTTGGCCAATGATGTTCTTTTAAATAACGACGGCCAGGCTGCCATATTCGATCTGAGCTTTTTGTGTGGTATATTTGCCTTGTGCATTAAGTAATCACACTATTTAAATTGTCGAACTCGGCAATCTCAGAGATCTCGTTATCAGGTTCGTGTCATCTGTCAGGTTCACACCCAAGCGCGACACCTCTCTCTCAGCTGCCTTTTTAAACTGTCAAAGTCGGCCTTCTGAAATCTGGCATTTTAGTGGAATTTTCTCACGCTCGCCCTGGAAAATCTAACTGGAATCTAATTTCTTTGTGATTTATGCTTGTGCCTGTCTCTACCCTCGGACATTAAGCACGAGGTTTCTCTGCTGATGAACTAAATCGAAAGATTATTCCGGTGGGTTCGGTTATATGTTGACTTAGAAAACAGTCCTGGATCGTCTCGAGAAAATCCTCTGATTCTGAGTTACCTGTAAGGTCAGTCCATGCAACATTTTCCTTCAATTACTCTCAGGAACCCCGCAACCACAAGAGAAAGGGCACCTTCCCCTTAAGAACTCCTCTAAACAACAATAAGAGGAACTCCTGACCTGGGTGTTCTCTGTGATGACCCCTAGCCAAGAGAATCCCTCTCCCTCCGTCACCTCCTCCGACTTAATAATCAGGAGTTGTGTTCCCCCAACAGAGAGAGTCGAAAGTGAACGTGGCGGTGTTGACCAACATCTCCGGAACCATCAGTATCCAGAGCAATACCTCCAGCGAGTATCTGCCTGGAGGGGAGTGGCTCTGGATCATCGACCTGGGCTCTGACGATGAGTACTCCATTGACCTTAACGTGACCTACCTCGACTTGCGCTCTACCCACGTCATCCACGACAAAAACGCCAGCGGTCACTCGTACACTACGGGGGATTTCATGATGGTGGGGGCAGGTGAGTGATACTTAAATGTGTTTTTTTTTTTTTTTAGTTTTTCCAAGCACCTTCAAATGGTGGCGTTTACTTAGATATCAATTACCGGTATGTTTTCACCGCCTTCAGCAAGTGGTATTGCTGCCGGATTACGAGGTAGCATTATTTCAGGCAGGCGATACTTGTAGTTGACGCAATCAGGATATTTACACCTGGTGGAGAATTCAATTTGATCTTGTTGATAAGGTTTTTTGATAACGTGAGGCGAGAGATCACCGAGACCAAAAAAAATACATATTTCGCTAGCGTTGTGTCGTCGACCAGGTAACACAGGGATCTATCTCTAACAGTAATACTATCCTTTGATGTTCTGGTTTAGAGATCTATTAATAACCATCTAATCTACCGTCTGCCTAGGAGACTCTCTGCTGTCAGGGAGCCAAGAGGTGTTCTTCTACGGGTTGAGGAAGAGGCTCAAGAGCGTCCACATCTTAGGTCCTGTCGGGCATGTGTACCTCCGTACCCACCTGCTACCCGACCTTGACCCTCACGCTGTTTACGGCTTCCAACTCGACTACACCCGTACTGGTTAGTTTTCATTACCTTACGACCCTCACATAACATACACCTTATTTAAGTTTAGAAACACCTACTCTAATAAAATTACTGTTTGGTACTGTGTTAGGTAATGTGTGGCCGTGTGTAGGAGTGGATAGCATGTTGTCTAAAGCAGGTCTATGGCGTTACTATACTGGTGGGAGAGTAGGAGAGAGACGGGTTCACTACAGAGCTATACAAGGGCCTTGTTGTGGAAGAAGGACACCATAGAGAACATTTTAACGGCAAATAATGGTAAAATCGCTGTTGATCTCGGCTCTGGCCTATCTGTGCCAGGCAGGAAAATACTTATAGGAGAAAATAACACTTAAACAAAAGAAAAAAAAACAAGATTCTATACAATCGTGATTGAAAAAAGTTGACGTCGACAGATGTCTTTCTCTGTCTGTCCAATAATTCATCTATATACGTGTGCTTTGTGTTACAGGTGAGGTAAGTACAGTTCCCACTGGCTCCACCACCACCACCCTCCCCATCCCTCCTGACGTCTACAATGTCAGCGCCTGGGTCGCCCTCAACGGTCTCACTCCTGAAGAAGTAAGTATATCCGTAAAGGTATATCCAGTATAACCACTCTCTCTTTGGGTCATCCTTAACAATATACCAAATGAGAACGTGGATATATCTCCTTGAAGGTATAATAAGGATAACCGATCTCTGAGTCACGCTTAAAGATATACCAACTGATGGATTCGGTATATCTTATGAGAAGTATATCAGGAAGTAACCTTAATACCAGTGTACAACTCACATACGTGTTCGTGTAGGGGTGGAAGGAGACGTACCAGCTCCGGGTGAGGGAGGCAGTGGCTGGCATGACCTCAGAGTATGTCGCTAAGGAACAACTCCAGCTGACGGAGGACATCACGTGAGTACCCAACCCACCAAGATGAATAGGTTAGGTTAGATATGATATGGATAAGTTAGATTAGGCTAAGTCAATGAATAAGGACTCAAGTATAGCGTTTATAGAGAGGCCTGGCGCAGTTAACACGAATATTAAACATGGGCATAACGAAGAACATGCCAACTGTGTGTGCGTGTGTGTGTGTGTGGGTAAACTAACCTACAGTACCTTGTGTGTTGTATGCAGGTGGAGGAGTGTGATGGTGCTAGACGTAAAGACCTGCCACCCCCAGTACTGCTGGAGCCGGTGCGTGGCCTACAACATCTCCCTCCACGCCTTCCTCGCCGACACCGACGAGAGGGTCTTCACCAGTTCCCTTCTCACCACGATCTTCGCCACCACCTCCAACCACCACTACTGGACAAACATGCCGGAGTCTTGTCAGGTACAGAACACAACACTAATTATCTCGAGTACAAAACACAACACACTGTAGTTATCTCGAGTACAAAACACAACACACTGTAGTTATTTCAGGTACAGAAGACAACACACTGTAATCAAGTCAGGTAACTAATAAGCAAAACCTCCCTTTAACAACAGACTTTGAAGAGAGAGTGAGAGTGGTGTTTTGGTCTCAAATTTTGACGTGGGTGTGAGAGATTGAAACAGGTGTGTTGTGGTGGTTTAACGAGACACACGTTGTCCCCACAGGTGTGCAAGGAGAGCTCGTTGATGGTGTTGAAGGAGGTCAACTCGTGGGGTATGATCATAGGGGTGTTGGCGCTGGCCTCCGCTATAACACTCGTCGCCTGTATTGCTCAACGGAAGATAGACTATGGATTGTGAGTAGACAGACAGACAGACAGACAGACAGACAGACACAGACTCGCTTTGGTTTATTTGCGAAGGAAAAAAAAGAGGAAATCTGTTTGTTTACAAGTGTCATTTCTTTATGTGAAGTTAATTGTAGTTTTTTCTTCCTTCCCTTTAATCATGCCCCCCCTCTCCCTTCCTTTCAACCATACCCCGCCTTTCTTTCCTGCCAATCCTATTTCCCTCCTCCCTTCTTCCTCACTCCTTCCTTCTTTCCAACTTTCTATTCACTCCTTCCTAATTCATTTCTTCCTTCCAAACCTACCTCCATCCCTCCTCCTATTCAATCCTTCCTCCCTCCTTCCCTCACTCCAGACGCCGGAAAGAGTTCCTGAAGAGACAGCGGGAGATTGAGGAGGAGAGGAGAAGGAGGTCATCGGGAGAGCTGTCAACACTAGGTCTGGGAGGTTCCCTGGCCTCCAGGACCTCTCGCCGCCATTCCCTCCCCTTCCCTATGAAGAGGACCGACTCTCAAACTAATGACGATGACGTTGACGATGACCCTATGGTGAGTACTGGGGACTGTTGGGGGTGTACTATGTGTGTATTGGGTATGTATTCAGGTCTTGAGGGTGTTGGGGTGTACTAGAGGTGTGTAATGGGGTGTTGGGCGTGTACTAGGTGTGGGTGTGTAGGATAGCTTCAAACATAGGTTGGACGGATATATGAGCAATAGGGGTTGGGTGTAAACGGGACTGCCCAGTATGGGCCAATAGGCCCGCTGCAGTCTCCTCCATTCTTATGTTCTTATGTATTGGGGTGTTGGGGGTGTACTAGAGATGTGTTAGGTTAAGTGGAGATAATATTATTTTTGCTTGAACTGACTCACACGCCAAAAAACCACGTGACGTCAAAAAGATCTCATGTGACATCAAAAAGACCGTGTAGCGTCAAAAAGGCCTCATGTGACGTCAACAAACCTCCTGTGGCGTTAAAAAGACCTCAAGTGACGTAAAAAACCTAATATAACATCAAAAAGACCATGTGACGTCAAAAAGACCTTATATGACGTCAAAAAATTCATGTGACATCAAAACAGACCGTGACATCCAAAACAATGCATGTGTGAGATTAAAGGAACCCAGGTAATCTAAGACTCCAGCCTACCTAACTTAACCCAACCCAAACCCAAATTAACCAAACCCAGCCCAGCCCAGCCCAGCCTAACCTAACCTAACCTAACCTACTTTACAGTACTATGATGACTACCAAGAGTACGAGCCAGATCTCATCATCCTGCCAGGAGTAACTAACGAGGAAGGTGAGTCATTGATTGATTGATGGAGGGAATGATTGATTGATTGATTATGTGATAAGGTGGTTGATGGATTGATTGAAGGACGCAGTGATTGAGGGAGTTAATGATTGACTGATTGATTAAATTAATATTCCGAGAAGATGAGAGAGAGAGAGAGAGAGAGAGAGAGACTGATTACATAAGCCAAGTATCTCTCGGTCTCTCACACAGTCAAAACGAAGAATCCGGTGAAAGGCTACACGAACTCGGCCTTCGAGGACGTCCCACTCTCCCTCGACTCAGACAGCGAGGATCCAGATGCCATCAACTTCCAGCAGTCGTCCAGGTCAGTTTGGTTAGGTTAGGTTGTATAAAATTAGGTTAGGTTTGGTTAGGTATTGTCAAAAGAAGCTGTTGAATGTTGAGATAATATTTAACAAAGGTCTACGACATTATGGATGAGGACTTGACCCCCTCCATTACCTTCAACAGATTTTATAGATTTTTTACAGATTGCCCCAGAGGGGGCTAGTTTATTGGGCACCCCCTTACATCCTGTGCAAGGTGAAGCGCAGAAGCGTTTACAGTGCCCAACTGGGAAGCATGCGGAGTTCATGCTTGCCTTTATGACTCATGCATTAAGGGCGTGGAAGCCTGAAGAATCATGGGTTTTGTCAGCAAGTTACATAAAGTGACAGAATGATGAGTGTGTGTGGGGGGGGAGGTGGGGGGGAATTCCCGGTACATTTCATCTGTTTATAGCAAAGCGTGGCAGGTCCCTAATAATGTCAAGTGCCAGGCCTGTGACTAGGAGGAGGGATTACCTTTAACCTACAGCCTTAACACCTCTACTATGACCCCAGATTTGACCCCATACCCTTGACGCCAGCTTTGACCCATTCCAACCTCTTAACCCTGACCATGACGCTAAACGTCGACTACTCTACTCCCTAATTCAGCAACCGATATTTAGTTTTGTTTATGCCGAAATAAGTAAGTGTTCCTTACATCAGAGCATGAAACAAGGTCCTGTCTGTCTGTCTGTCTGTCTGTCTCTTAATTATTGTTCTCCCGTTCATTATATTAAGACACTGAACACGAAATGAGTTTTTGCATGTGTAAGTATGTCTGTCTCTATGTGTGTCTGAGGTAATGTCTTTTTCTTCTTTCTCTCTTCATTCTTATATCAGTGTTTAGTAAAAACTTTATTTCTTCTAACCTACAGGACAACTAGGATCGCCACGGTTGATATCCATGCTCACACCACCACGGAGTCGGCCCTCTGAGTCGGCCCTCTCAGTCAGCTACCTACCTACTCACGCCAGGTCGCCAGGCCAAAGCATTTATTTTATTGATTGCCTTTGTTTTCAGATGATTTAACGTTGAATATCATAATCATTTACTCATCTTCTATCTGTACCAACCGTTCATTCCTCACCTTGATTTAACTGTTGAGAAGTTGCTGTGAAGTGAGGTGGGGGTTTCAACATCCTGTGATCACCACAGCCACAGTTGGAAGATGCGAGTGTTGACGGACCACAGACACACACACCAACCAGTGACACAGAAGTGCTCTGAAATGATCAACAGTTATTTCTTTGCCAATCTGTCACACTGTGTTTACTTGTTACTGCAGAACTTGAGTCTGAGAAATCATTTACCTATGGAGCTAATACTTAAGAACTATACCTGTTGACCCGCCATCATTACGGGTTAGGTTGAGTCATTTTCTGGAATTATCCAAAAATTGTACGACAATAATTCCATGTGACTAAAATTATATAAAATTTTAGTTATCATGTATTAGTGAGTGTCATGTATGCCGGTACATTTATTAGAGCCAACATTGAATAAATAAAGTATCAATATAACATCATGGAAGCGCGTCTTTACTTAACTTACTAACAATATATGAATAAATTTGGTCATCGTGCCTATAAACTTTAATTGATGAAACCTAAATACCTACAACAACATCAACAGCGTATAATAAGGAGAGATGAGAGTAACACGTACATAAACACATTGTTTGGTGTAATAAAAGAGGTAAGCTATTATAATGTGTGAGGGAGAGAAAGAGAGAGAGAAGCAAGCAACTTACTCTAAAGTCAATTATAGATCCATGACCTTACGACAGTGACACAAGGGACTACACTATGCCTCGACAGTATCACCTAACAGTTTATATGTAACTTCAAGCAGATAACACGACACAGTTTTTGATAGACGGTGAAGTGTGTGTGTGTGTGTGTGTGAGAGATGGTCTACCTTCTATGACCGCCGAACAGAGAATAACCCAGCCAGATGCTCCACCAAACATGAACCCTAAGACACACCTCAGGCAGGTAGCTCGATGGTTCCAGGCAACATATATTGACAACAAACATTATAAAGAAGAAGAAACAACAGTGAATTACCTCTCCTAACTCATTGTTACCAGATCACGCACTAAATAAGTCAGGTGAGTGTAAAGAGTTACAGAGTAATTTATTAATGAACCCTATATATAGTATAACTGAAAAAAAAATAGTTAGAAAGGCATTCCCCTTTCTTCCTTCCTCCCTCCTCCTCCTCCTCCTCCTTTTCCCTCCACCACCACCTCCTCCTCCTCCTCCCTCCGCCACCATCTCCTCCTCCTCCCATGAACAGGTGTCTCGCCATTTCCAACATCTGTTGCTTCAAGGGTTCATGTGTAGTGTGTACAGTGTAACCGGGTGGTTGTAGCGTGGACGTGGTGGTCGTGGATGAACGCTGCTGTGAGGTCTCTGTGCTAGCTTCAACGTTCTGCTGTAAGTTGTATAATTATGAACATTCGTTATTCAATGACTTGTTGAGGTTAGAGGTTGTTCATAGGTTATAACGCTTGGTGTAAGACATAGCAGCCGGCTTCAGTCTGAATCTCGGGGTTATAAACCCCGAGATTCAGACTCTTGAATCCGAAGCATTTATGGACAGATCAATCTATCAGTGTCTACTGCGTCGGGTTCACGAGTCTGAATCTCGGAGTTCGTGGTTCGGGATGAGAGGCGACAGGACTTTCTTGGGTGTCTGTACATACGCACGTGTCGTCACTGTCGTGTATAACTCACCCCACTTTTATGGAAGACGTAAACACAAGGTAGACATCAATTATCGACAGTGTCAGACTCATCACAACGGGACTTTAAATAACTACAAGCAAATTACTTTTAAGTGGGACGGTCTCCTGGCAGGTCCCACTCCTCATAGGCCTTCCAATTTACAGGCCTACACTACCACTGTCGAAGCAGTTGGGTGTCAAGAGGAATGAGGAGGTGACTGGTGTGGGTATCAGTACAGTGTTAGGAGGTGACTGGTGTGGGTGTCATTACAGTGTTAGGTGACTGGTGTGGGTATCAGTACAGTGTTAGGAGGTGACTGGTGTGGGTGTCATTACAGTGTTAGGTGACTGGTGTGGGTGTCAGTACAGTGTTAGGAGGTGACTGGTGTGGGTGTCAGTACAGTGTTAGGTGACTGGTGTGGGTGTCAGTACAGTGTTAGGAGGTGACTGGTGTGGGTGTTGTAAAATTTAAGCTTCAAAGAGGAATATGAATTGTCATTTATTGGTTATCAATTATTTCATTATCAAATAAGCATAATAATATTTTATACTTAAAATAAAAAATATATATATTGCGAGTAACGGGTCTGGCCATGGTACAGCGGGTACAGGGCAAATTTAGGCAGCTGTGTAGGGCTCTGCTACACACTGATCTGTTTACCGATTGTGTTTGAAATGTCAGTACCTGTGAGTGTAAAAAAAAACTATTGTACTTATAAGTAAGTTTCGTGGCTTTTGCAAAAACAGGTGTTTATCTACACATGTGTGTTGGCAAGCCCAGGTGTGGCGCCTGTGCTTTACTGTACTGTAACTGTGGGAAGGGGTTTTGTATATTACTGGTGGGGCTGGGCCTGACGTCAGCCGTGTATCACATACACAGACTGTAATTAACCACGCAGATAAAGTTACATAATTAAATTGCAGGTACCAATTCTGTTCTAGCAATTTTACATGATATCTATGTTACGAGTGTCCGCCATTAGGTTCTGTTCTTTGTATAGAATTCGTTGTTTCGGATGGTGTGTGGGTGTCTCGGGCAGCTTCGCCCACAACTCGCCCACACCAACTGAGCTCTTATTTAAGTATAACTTTGTTTATTTCATTGTATTGTGTTTTATTGAATTGTTTTATTACATTAGGTTTGTACATAGGTTAGATACGTGGAATTAATGTCAGTAGGGTAATTTAAATATAGTGTCATGTTTTAGCCAATCAGGATATGTTACGTCAGTATTTGGAGGTAGAAAGGTGACGTCGGTGACCAGCTGTTTGTTAATATATTTTTTTTATTAAAACTACTTCATAAATTTCAATAGACCCCATAGTAACTGAGGTGATGAATTTGGTGGGATCTATTCCTTGAATCTATAGTACAAAGAAAAATTTTATTTGTGCATTGTTACAACCTAAGAGGCCAAGGGTCGTAACATCTATAAGAATAAAAAGACGTGTCTGCCCGTAATGGGTTTCAAAACATATGGAACGATAAGTGTAACGCGACTTTTTTTTCTTTGTACTGTACATTGTTCATGGCATAGCAATGGTTTTAAATTAGACAAATTTAGATCATGGCGCGAGATAGGTAAACATTGGTTTGGAAATAGAGTAGTGGACGATTGGAACAAGTTACCAAACATCATCATTAACTCGATTACGCTGGATAGCTTCAAACATGAGTTGGATGAATACTGTATATGAGCGATAGGGATTGGGTGTAAAAGGGACTGCCCAGTATGGGCCAATAGACCCACTGCAGTTTCCTCCATTCTTATGTTCTTATAGAGGCAGAGTACATGGTTCATAGTGTGGTATGGGTGCAAGGTGTATACATTAATTATGGCATGGTACTGGGGATCAAGGACTAAATCCTTGCTGGGGAGGGTGTAGTGTACTTTATGTGTGTGTGTGTGTGTGTGTGTCTATAAGTATGTGCGCGTGCGTACGTACATGCGTTGGTGTAATGCTTTAGTATACATACATACATACATGTTAATAATTTTACCATTGCTTGTCTATTAATATATTTATTCCTATGTTTTCAGGAGCAAGTTTTAACTCACACAGTAAATGTGGAGAAGACAATAAAGAGGTAGCAGTAGACAACGAGAAGAGACACATACAGAACGATACGAAACAGAAGAAATCAATACACACAAAGGAGCAAACAACACGATGATACAGTCGCAGAACGTAAAAGACAGTAACCAGGACACAAACAGCAGAAACAAGTGCTTCAGGAGAGAGCATAAAAACGAAAACAAGGTAATATACAGCGAAAACAAAGTACCACACAGCGAAAACAAAATGCTACACGGTGAAACCATAGTGCTGAACGGCGAAAACAAAGTGCTAAACGGCGAAAACAAAAGAGAAAGCTATGAAAACGAGCCTTTCTGCGGAGAGGACAAGGGGGAAAACGTTACGCCCCACCCCTTTCATCGTCAAGGCAAAGACGACGATGGCGCTGTTTGTAGTGACGATGAATATGACTTAGTAAGTCTTCCTTAAGACTGTAGGCTTCTAGGTAGGTTAAGTGAGAGAGTGTTGAGTGAGTGAGTGAGTGAGTGAGTGAGAGTGTTAATCAGTGAGTGAAAGTGTTAATTCAGTGAGTGAGTGTTAGTCAGTGAGTGAGAATGTTGAGTGAGTGTGTTGAGTATGAGTGATAAATGAATGAGTGTTATGTCAGAAAGAGCGTTAAGAAAGTAAGCAAATCTTAAGACCATGTCCCAAATGTCTAACGCATGTCCCAATGTCCCACAGTATTACGACAGCGTCCTTCCAAAGGCGTCCAGCCCGCGGCAGACGAGGGCATGGTTGAGGGCAAACGGCTTCCAATCTCACGCCCACACCTTCAAAGACTTCACTGGAGGGGACATGTTGGCTCTAACTAGATTTGATTTTGTTGACATTTGCGAAGCAGCTGATGGTGAGGCCATCTTTAACGCACTCAACCCCAGGTGAGTGTCTCATACTGTCAGGTGTTGTCAGGTGTGTTGTACTGTCAGGTGTTGTCAGGTGTGTTGTACTGTCAGGTGTTGTCAGGTGTGTTGTACTGTCAGGTGTTGTCAGGTGTGTTGTACTGTCAGGTGTTGTCAGGTGTGTTGTACTGTCAGGTGTTGTCAGGTGTGTTGTACTGTCAGCTGTTGTCAGGTGCATGTGTTGTGTCTGTCAGATGTTGTCAGGCGAGTGTGTTGTACTGTCAGGCAGTCAGGCGAGTGTGTTGTACTGTCAGGCGAGTGTGTTGTACTGTCAGGCGAGTGCGTTGTACTGTCAGGCGAGTGCGTTGTACTGTCAGGCGAGTGTGTTGTACTGTCAGGCGAGTGTGTTGTACTGTCAGGCGAGTGCGTTGTACTGTCAGGTGAGTGCGTTGTACTGTCAGGCGAGTGTACTGTACAGCCAATTATCCTATGTAGGGTTAATGTACTACATTATAGGGCATTGTGTTTTATCACTGTCATGTTACAACGTCGAGTACAAAGAGTGGTACGTGTATCTTCCCATCTGTCTACAGCAGAAGCGGACAGCTGAGGGTGTACGTACAGCTGCCAGGTGAGAAACACTACCACGCCCTCTTCCTGCGCACCAGAAACTCTGACCATCTGGCAAGGAAGGTATGCAGGCTCCTGGGTGTGCCCGCACGCCAGGACACCCGCCTCTACCTTCAGCGACCATCACACCAGCCCGCCCCCGTCACCGCACAAGTGAGTGAGTTTCAGAGTGAATGGCATGTGCCTTGGCTGCCGGAGAAGTGAGTGGCGTGTGTCCTGACTCATAGAGGTGAATTACTGTCAAAGGTTTCCTCATAATTTACTGACATAAAACGTGTAATAACAAGATGTTTTAAGTTACCTTATGTGTCTGTGTGAGGACGGGCGTTGTAGGGGTTGATGTGTCTGTGTGAGGACGGGCGTGACCTTCATCTACCGGGTATGTCCCACGTTAGAATGGGACACCTACTGGCACACCTTCCCTCCCCAACACCCGACACACACAAACTGGCGGACTACTGTAGTTCATGTTTTTAAAGCGGTAGAATGGTTCTATTTCGTATTTGTATGAACTCGATTTTTTTTATTTTTTTTAAAGAAGTGTAAAAGTTTACCCAAAGAATTTTGACTGTGTTTATTTTGTTCTAAAAATTTGATGATATTAACACAATCACTGGCTAAGTGCCGTCGTGTATGATTAGACACAGACAGACGCACGGACGGACGGATGGATACACCATTGTTATGAAATCATATCTATTTTCTGTCATACAAGGTAGTCGAGAGCTTGGAAGACGAGACCCTCCTGTCGGTGCAGGTGAAGCTGGATGTGAACCAAAAGTCGAGTGTATTCCTTGTTGAGGGTGAAGCTGCAGCCCACCAGGCACCACCGTCTCCTCTCACTGTTTCTGCTGCGTCTGACCTCTAACAACCCCAGAAACCGTCTTTTAACAAGGTCTTATAACTATCTCCTACCCCGATAAGTCCAGCGTGTCAACAAAACATTCCCCTCTTACCAGTCATAGTTGTTATTCAGCCACTGTCTGCTAAAGCTCCTGACGCTAAGCCACCAACAAACTTAGGAGGCTTCCCTGCTGTTACCAGACCTTGTTACTGACAGATACATTATCGATGAACATGGTTATCTTCATCAAGTAACGCAACACCTCCTCCTTGAGAGACCATAACACCGCTTACCCACCATACAGTACAGTACACAGAATAGAAGTTCGTTATAGAGCTGCCACTGACGACCATCCTGCTATGTGCAGGAAAATTAATTTAGATGATGGATATAGAACTGTATTCAGGCGTGTTGGTTACTGAGTGTGTGTTCAATTTTGCTTGATCATGTCTAGTACTTTAATATACTGGCATATTTGTAAATTAAATGTATGAATATAATGCCTGAATGTTATATAGCGCAAATGCCACTGTCTACAGGCCAAACTTTACACAGACTTTCTCACTAACGTAATGTGTTAACCTGCAATAATAATTATAATATAACAGCGGGAAGAATTATTATTATTATTATTATTATTATTATTATTATTATTACGGTCACCTATTTGTACGGCTTTTATACATCCAAATAAAGAACTAACTGCAACGCTTCTCTCACTTCACCTCAGATGACCTTAATTATATCCATTTGTGTAGTGATAAATATATGTATGTGGCGCGTGACACACACACACACACTTAGTTAATATCAATATACAGGCTGGTCCGAGTGTCCCTGTCTATTTTGTTGAGAAAAAAATCCATTTAGTATGAAAATGTAAGAATATAATTTTTTTTTTATTACTGAGCCAAGGTCTAAAATTCAACGAAGTACATCTGTGTCTCTACAAACTTTTTTTTTCTTTGTATAAGCTACGGTAATGTCCGAGGTTTACAGAATAATAAATCTAGACTTACAAGACCTGTAAAACCATATTGTTGCCACAATTGCTAAAATAACCTAGGATACTTGAAGTGTTTCGTAAACAACGAAAAGATTTGAGATTGACAGATGCAGATTGTGCCCGTGTCGTGAACTAAGCTTGATAGCAAAAATATATTCTATTACATTATTACATTTTTTATCCTGAATGACCATCTTTTTTTTTCTCAAGGAAATATAAATTTTGGATCACCCTATATACATGAAATCAATAACAGTACGACAGGAACAGACATGGCGGCGGTGTTTCTACTTATATAAAAAATGACTTGGCCTATGACCAATATATCATATATTAGGAGCGACCAGAACAACAATATACAAGGATACTTTAATATTTGTTATAGGGAAGAAGAAAATAGTCTGAATAAGAATTATAAGCATCTACCCAGATAACTGTGCTCATCCACCGTAACATGTCATAGCCAAGACATGATCAGTCCGGTAGCCGTCACTCCTATTGGCCTTAGTGACCACTCCTACTGCTGCAGGGGAAAGACAACACAACACAAGGTAATCAAAATAAGTTTAATGATGAATCACAATAAAGAAGCGTTCTAAAATAAATTACCAAACACTGATTGGTTTCATGCAACAAACTGCACGGAGGTAAACGGGGCCTCGAAGTTCAAAACTGCTTTTATTGACGTAACACGAAGATAAGAATAAAAACTGAACCTTGGATGACTCACGAGATATTGTAATCCATCAGACACAAAGATCAACTCCCTTGTAAGTTTAAACAAGACAGACATAATGACGAGTCCCCCCCCCCAAAAAAAAAAAATTGTAGGATAAGAGACAAAGTACATAGAGGTATGAAGCGGACGAAACCAGAATACTTAATAATATTGAAGGGAAATTTTCTTGAAGCAGAAAGATCACTTGGACACAGCCACAACCCAGAAGAACATTATAACTTATTGTTAAGTATGGATAATGAACAATGCCACGACGCACCTGAAGTTATAAAAAAATTAATTCCTCATGTTTAGTCAATTAACTGCCAATAGCAGGAAGCAATTACAGTTTAGGTTCAGATCATTTTAAATAATAAAAAGAGTCACTCTAGAGCGGTCTTGAACTCTACTCTGTGACAGAAGAGTTTATTCTAAAATAGTTAAATAACCTGGACCCCTACAAGACCACAGATGTTAATAACATATCAACCAGGTTTTCTTTCTATTAGTACTAATACCGTAAACCAGATGCACATAAGTTTGTCAGGCGACAGGTGTGGTATAAGTAATTACAGGTCTGTTAGTATCCTGTGTATTATATCTAAAGTTCTAGAGAGAGCAATGTGTGTGTTCAGGTGGAAAGATATCTCCATAATTATAAGTTATACAGTTGCCAGTCAGGCTTCAGGGGCTCTCAAACTGTCACTAGCTTGATCCATCAAAATTACCACATCAGGACCCAAATATCTCATGGAAATTACACAGGATTAGTAACGTTACTTACAAAAACCCTTCGACACTGTGAATCCTGACAGTGTGTGGAAAAACTGCAGGTTCTTGGCACTGAATTTGTTAACTGGTTTAAATCTTATCTTAACAATAAGAAGCATACAGTCTGTTATCACCGCTGGCTAATTATGCTGGTGTCAGCTGTTGGCGCACGCTGCCTTGCCCGAACAAACATCGGATCTCTCAGCCTGCGACCACGGCCACCCCCCCACCCCCACCCCCCTACCTCCACGCGGCCTGTTACCTCGCCAGATGTGGCGGTGGGGGCGGTGCTTACAGACAAGAGGTCCTGAATCTGCTGAATGTATGGTTTACAGGGTGACGTGGCTCTATGCCCCCCAACGCGGCCTGTTACCTTGCCAGATGTGGCGGTTCGGGCGGTGCTTACAGACAAGAGGTCCTGAATCTGCTGAATGTATGGTTTACAGGGTGACGTGGCTCTCTACCCCCCCCCCCAACGCGGCCTGTTACCTCGCCAGATGTGGCGGTTCGGGAGGGGCGGTGCTTACAGACAAGAGGTCCTGAATCTGCTGAATGTATGGTTTAGAGCAGTGGTTCTCAACCTTTTTCACGCCATTCCCCCCTTGAGGAATTTTCAACATCCTCGTGGCCTCCTTCATTTTTCTCCCAAACCCCCACAAATAATGTTGAAAAATAAAATGTTTGAGTCAAGCTCAAACACAATATATGGTTCAGAGACAATACCCTCCACTGTTTTCGTGATGGTATCCCAGGCCAGACTGAGATCATTCGGTCCTATCACCACTTGCAAAGGGATGACACACGGACCCGTACTGAACAAGTCAGTTCAGCAGCTCGGTCCAGCGCCTGTCACACAGACAGGGACTGGACCTGTGAAATCTTAAATAATCCTTAATAAAAAAAATAGCACCAGAGTATGTAAATATTAAAATTGTATGGTCGTTATGATTAAACAAAATGACAAAAAAAAATAATAAAAATTCTCTTCTGCCAAGTCAAAATAAGTAATACGAGTTTTGTTTAATTCAGATTCGAAACATTATTTAGAAACGTACAATTTATAACAGCTTGCCGTGGATCCCCTAAATTCTTGCCGTGGATCCCCTAAATTCTTGCCGTGGCTCCCATGGGGGCCGTGGCTCCCTTGATGAAAACCACTGGTTTAGAGGGTGGGTGGCTCTCATGACGCCCCCCCACTCGACCTGTCACCTCGCCAGACGTGGCAGGGGGACGGTGTTTACCGCCGGCGTCAGTGCTGGCACCGCCGGCAGTGTTATCACCGCTGGCGTCAGTACTAGTGAGTGAGTGCTGGCGTGTGAGTGCTAGCATTTGCTGCCTTACCTGAACAAAGATTGGGGGGTGGGCGGTGTTTACGGACAAGAGGTCCTGATTCTGTTAAATGTATGGTTTATAGGGTGGCGTGGCCGCCTGGACTCCAGGAGCTCGCCCTCTCGATTGATGCTGTAAGGACCAGCCCTCGAGTGATGCTGTAAGGAGCAGCCCTCTGCTCGTACTGGTAAACACCGACTCACAATCCTGTCCAAGAATTTGTGCCGAGACAATTTACGCCGTACTGTTGTCTCTTGGTCGCAGGCTGAGAGATCCAATGTTTGTTCGGGCAAGGCAACTGACACCAGCATAATAAGACAGCGGCGATAACAAGTCGTTTGCAAATATTACAGAGTCAACATCCACGTCGATAGCCTCTTGAGTCCCACAAGGCAGTATTCTTGGACATTGCTTAGTGATAATTGCAAACCTTTTTTGTATGCGGATGACAGTCCCCCGTTATTGACAGATAAAGATACGAATGACATACCTAGCAAATTATCATATGATGTATAATCATGCAAACAACGGTTGATAGACTGAAACAATATTATCTGGATAAAGAAGAGAACACAAAATAGTATGCGAATTCACAATATACATAGTATAGAGTACTATGTGGGAACAAACCCATCCCAACTGTAACCTCAGTAAAATACCTTTGGTTAATTCTTAACTCGTGTTTATCTGTTGAATTAATCGAAAATTATATAGTTAGTAACAACACTGCCATGATAAAACTCCTCTAAAAATGCTAAATATGCCTCAGTTGATGCCTGTTGGAACCTTTGCGTGGCGCTCATTCAATATTACTTGGACTATTCCTGCTCGTCATGGTACTCTGCCGTAACATAAAAGCTAAAATCCCAGCTACAAGCTGTTCACAAGATACCTGTAGCGAGGTTCATTCTTGACATGAACACAAAAGATCACATTGGTCTGGAAGGCACAGTCACTGGACATATTAATTGTGGCGGGTAATGAAGTAATTTAGGCTGCATCACGCTTACAGGACTTTCAGCAGACTGTGCTCAGAGTAGCTAACAACAAACTTTGTAAGGCTTTGGGCTATGAACCGGTAGGGCACTAGAGGGAGAAAACATAATTTCATGGTACCTGGTGTCCGCGGTCAAGTGAAAAACACTTATTTACATATATAACAGACTGGAACAAGTTACTTAACCACATTAAGCCAGTAATGCTATCAAACAGTTCCCTAACTTAAACTAAAAATTACATGACAATATGAAGCTACATCAATAAAGGAGTGAGGTCATCCGTCAGTCCAAGCGTAATGTAAGACTTCTCATATTTATTAAAAAAAAAAAAATTCTGTAGATATACTATTACTGACAAGCAACCAAGTCTAAACAAAGGACCCTACTGGAAATATGCAGCTGGTTGCTTTATTGGCTATCCTTGGTTAAATTTCCTTACTGTTAACTATTGTTGTATACCTGCAGTGTCTTGGCATGTTGGAAATTGTGTACCTCCACGATCTATGTACACCATATACCTGCATTGTCAATATTATTATTATATTTTCAGAGCTGTCACTTCAAAGTACAGCATGATGACTCAGGTACTGTGTGAAGACAGGGATTTGGCGTTCAAGTAGTGGCCGTGTAAGGGAACACTGGCTTGTCGCTGTGAAGTAGTCTGTAAAACACGTGAGGAAAGATGCCTCGAGTAGGGCTCTCTCTAGGTCGGGGTCCAGGTGTATCTTCCAGGTGCGTTCCATCATCTTGGGGGAGCAGATGAGAGACATGAGGTGATCATCGTTGAGTTTGTCTGGTTTAGGTACAGAGATAACCTATGTATGGACTGGAGTGTAGGACAAAAGCCCCCTAGGAGAAATAATAAGAGTTTTAAAATAATTATTTTATTTCTTTACAGTTTATGAACACCTAACCTAACCTAACCTAACCTAACCTTCGGGAATTCTGTTAGTTATAAAGAAGTATACAAGGAATATTTATTAAATCTGCAATGACGTATGTTGTGTCTACTGGGGTAGTTACTCCCCTGACCATTCAGTGACCTCACTGGGCCCTAGGGTCACCTCAGTAAATACAGAATGAACATGGAGGTAAATTATGTCTTTTTTTTCTTTTCTATTTCTTTCTAATAAAGTTCTATATCAAAATTGAAAGAGTTACAATATTCTGATAATTTAAATTGTAATAATTTCATATTTAAATCTATATATTTTTAATATTTCTAATGACCCTCTAACATAAAAACGGGGACTTCTGTCCTATTTTGCACTTTTACTGAGGGGCTTTTGTCCTAAGGGGCTTTTGTCCTGGCCCCGTATGGACTGATGTCCAGTTGCAAAGCAGAGGTAGACTTGGCAGAAAAGGGAGTCCTATCCTGCTTGATGAGGTCGTTACAGGTGTATCCTTCACAGAGGGTCAACAGTGGCGCCCCAATCCTGCTTGATGAGGTCGGCGCCCTTCTCACCGATCATGATAACAGCAGCGTTGATGTTGCCAGATACCACCACCGGCATTATGGAGGCGTCGACCACCCTCAGTCCTGCCACGCCCCGCACCCTGTAGAGGTAAACAGTCACCACACACCACTAACACGTGTACAAGCAAACTATATTGATATGCAACACCCGTGTATGTAGCTACAGATTCCACTGCATATTAACATCGTCGCAGGCAAAAAACACACCTACAGCACCTCTAGTTCTCTTATATGCTATGAAGGAATACTCTCTATGAAACAAGACAAGTCTAGTAAACCTCGGTGTCAACATCAACAATAGGGAGTTTATCAGTGTAACACCCAATGAGTGTCACCCTGTGCGTGAATGATTATGTTTTGGGGAGGGGAGAGAGAAGGGTGTTGCAGTGTAGGGGAGATAGATGACGAGGGAGAAATGTGTAGCGAGAGAAAGAGCGAGAGAGAGAGGGGGGAGGGGGGTGGGGGGGATGAGCAGTGTGACTTGAAAGCATAAACAAAATGTATGAACCATGAGGCGCCGTACCTGAGTGTGTGGTCGACAACAGTGAGGAGGTCGGAAGCGGGACCCATCTTGCAGGAGCCCGCTGGGTGGTAGAACGAGGTAGTCATGTGACGCACGTAACAGGCCCAGTAGGAGTCCCATCCGGCCACATCCCACCACCTCTCACAACCAGGCAATACCTGCATAGTCGCACACCATCGTCAACACGCACAGGTGATGCAAGATAAACACAAAAGGTACATTATAAACAAATAGTGTAGAACGATATGAGATGTAAACAGAGAACCATATATCAGATGAACAACGATGTTATAGATAAGTCTGAACGTGAGAAAGATTTAGGAATAATGATAAGTAGGAATCGTAAGCCAAGTAAACAATGTGTATTTGCTCGAAACAAGGCTAATAAAGTACTTGGGCTCATACAAAGGTGTGTTAGTTATAAGACTCGAGAAGTCATCCTAAAACTATATCTTACGCTTGTGAGACCTCACTTGGATTACGCAGTTCAAATCTCGTCACCGTATTACAGAATGGATATAGAATCCCTCGAAAAAATTCAGAGGAGAATGCCAAGACCAATCCCGGGCATTAGGAACCTTGAGTACAGAGACAGGTTAAAGCATCTTAATTTGCACTACCTCGAGAGACGTAGAGTGAGGGGCGATATGGTAGAGGTGTATAAATGGAAGTCAGGGCTAAACAAAGGGGACATTACAAAGGTACTCATACTATCCAACCAGGAGCGAACTCGTAACAATGGTTTTAAATTAGACAAATTTGGATTTAGGCGCGAAATAGGTAACCATTGGTTTGGAAATAGAGTCGTGGACGAGTGGAACAAGTTACCAAACATCATCATTAAATCGAATACGCTGAATAGCTTCAAACTCAGGTTGGATGGATATATGAGCGATAGGGGTTGGGTGTAGATGGGACTGCCCAGTATGGGCCAATAGGCCCGCTGCAGTTTCCTCCATTCTCATGTTCTTATAATTCAGGAGTGACGAAATTGAACGAGGAATTGTCGTGTCACTCAACATTTTGTACTCTGTTAGTTTGACTTAAGCAGTTTTCGACCACTGTAGGCGTCTTGTAGGAGTGTCTGTATACCATTGCGCCATTGTAGGAGTCATGTGTGTGTGTGTGTGTGTGTGTGTGGCCCCCGTCATCACCTGGTCGTGAAACTTGGCGCCGTGGTCGTCTCTCAGCGCGGTTGTGTTGGCCACTTTCAGGGCGAACTCGATACCTGTGGCGGCCAGGGAGAGAAGGAGCATCAGTAGTTCATTTAAGTTGTTATTTCTTCTTAGAGAATTAACTTTAATAGGAGTCTATCCTAAATTCTATCCACAGAAAACCATTAAGTTGGGTGAGAATTTATTAATCTAGCTTTAGTCATGTATTTTTTTTTTTATTCCTAGTTTCACCACTGGCCGTTGGACTGTTGATCTGTTACTGTGTTATGAACTTTATTGTCCAGTGTTAGTCAAGAGGAAGCCATAGTACCCGGAGAAAACCTGTGATGTTTGGTAGTCACACTGTACATCAATTTTCACGTTGTGTCCCGGACCAACACTCGAAACCAAGATATATTTGTGAGATACGTGCACGACCACTGTACCAGCAACAATTAATTCTCCCAACTGTGATAAAAAAGACCTTAATTACCTGAAAATTAGTCCCCAGTTTATTTCACCTGTTGATTAACAGAGGTGTAGTGGTGCCTGAGCGGCGCTCCACTTACCCTGAGAGATGTGTATCTGGTTGACAGTTTCATAGTAAAGTAAGACGAATCGAAACGAAAATACTGAATTCATTTTGTAACGTCAAATAATAACTGATATACCAAGTCCCAGACTCCCAGTCCCAGTGTCTATACAACCTCACGTTACATAGCAGCAGCAGATTTTTTCTTAGCAATAAATTAAATTTGCAATAACAAATTTTTTCTTTTATATTTAACAGCGTTTCGACTTACTTCGTGTCATTATCAAACGGTCTCAACCTATATTGAACAAGGAGATGTTTATACAATATCTGGCAACAAGCAAAACCCAGTCTGGCCACTTCTCCAATTTTCGTCGTCCTGTATCATTGGTGGGCCATGGCCACGAGTCTGTAGTTTGGCCCGTTAATGCTGTAGTGTTGTACTCCGTAGCTTACCTTGCCTGATAATTACACAGCGACCGCAAAACAACTTTCTTTTGCAAAGAAGCTGAGGAGTATAAGGAAAGTAATGGCTAGGTAAATGATAAGAGTAGAGGGGTAGAGGACCATGGCCACTGTGTACCTCTGTAGAATTTTATATCACACACACAACTGATAAGGGCAATGATCACCGGTGAGTGGGTAGTTACAGTACCTCTAACGAGCGTAGTGACGTCATCAGGGTGGCTGAGGTAGTTGGGGTCAATGAGTGGAGGATCCCTGAAGTCACGTGACCTGAGCTTCACTGACCCTCGACTCTTAGGACGGGTCAAGGAGGGACAAATGGTGATGCCCTCCTGTCCCAGCAGCCCCTTGAAGTACTGATGATAGAGCTGGTGGTGGACGGGTGGTGGTGGACGGGTAGGGGTGGACAGGTAGAGGCAGAAAATCACCAAAATATTAAAAGGTTAATTACTGTCTAAACTTACAAGGGAAATATTTACCTTCCTCGCATCTATTAGTCTCCTAGTGTGACCTGAAGATTAGGCACCCCTGTTTATTTCACCAGAAGATGAACCACCCTAACGTTAACCTAACCTAACGCTAATCTAACCTAGCACAACCTGGTCTAACGCTAACATAACATAACCAAACTCAACCCTAACACTAACCTAACAATAATAATAATAATAATAATGAACGGTTTATTGAAAAAGTTCTGCAGCCCGAAGGTTGAAAATATACATTGGACATGCAGTAAATGACTTATTACATACATTGACGGTTTAACAAAAGCCTTCATTAGAGAAAGGTAAAGGAACATAAAGTGAACATACAGATTAATGTTTACAGTGGAGATCACGTAGATCACGTACGGCGAGGTGTTGAACAGCAGACATGTAGTGTAGTAACTCCCTCACAGATTGTGTTATGAGGGGCCTCACGTGGTGTAGAAATTCCCTTACAGGTAGTGTTATGAGGGGCATCACGTGGTGTCGTAATTACTTCACAGATGGTGTTATGGGGGACTTCACGTGGTGTAGTAATTCCCTCACAGTTGGTGTTATGAGGGACCTCACGTGGTGTAGTAATTCCCTCACAGATGGTGTTATGAGGGACTTCACGTGGTGTAGTAATTCCCTCAAAGATGGTGTTATGAGGGACTTCACGTGGTGTAGTAATTCCCTCACAGATGGTGTTATAAGGGACCTCACATGATACTGTAGCAACTCATTCACTACATGGTGTTGTAGCTCACTCAAGTGAGTGAGGTGTGGTCCCAGGCCTCCCTATCGTGGACGGATTAACACATAGCTGGTGTTGTCAAGTCTCAGGGGGCAGTTACTGTATCACAGGGACCTCACTGTGTGAAGGTTAGCTTGGGTACGACTCAGCTGTTACTGTCGAGTTGTTTTAAACTGACTTAAGCACTGTTCACCACTATTCAACACTGGTTCCATTCCTTTCCTAAATGAAATAGTAACTTCTGGCGAGACCTTGTTGATATTCCGGTGGGGAGGAGGGGTTCAGGGGAGGGAGTTGGTATGGGCCAACATAACAGTTGACCTGGCTGCTGCAAGAGGAGCGCCAGGTACGTCTTGACCCTTCGGTGGTAGATTTTGGGTGGATACTCTTCAGGTGACGAAATAAGATTGGATTTCTAATATCCAGGTGATCCAACTCTTCAATAAATATACATACCTTCTATATGGAGTTCGATTTCTTTATACTGACAGTCACGTTCATTGTGGATCTTCCTATACTTATGAAACCTTATTATATTGTGGTATTCTCTAGGCTCGTCTCGCTCTTCATACGGAATGACTTATGTGAAGAGTTAGGTTAGGTTAGGTTAGTGTTGAGACCTTTGATATCACAGCAAGTGTTGGTAGTGGTCAGTCTCTGGTCGATGTGTTTCTGTGACAACAATACAGCCGACTATTGGTGGCAGCTAATGTGTTGCTCCGCTGTCAAGACGTACATAAGCAACTAGATACATACATGTACACAGGACTGTACAAACATACACAAATACAGTCATTCACACATATTTATTCACATATAAAAGCATACAGACACAGTAGATGCATACACACATAAATGCACACACAGACAGACAGACAGACATACAAGCACACACAGAGGCAACACAAAGAAAATACTGTATGTATATAAGAACTTCCTACAAGGAGGTCTAGTTTTTGCTATACTCTCTCTCTCTCTCTCTCTCTCTCTCTCTCTCTCTCTCTCTCTCTCTCCGCCAGACAGTTTCACCTGAAGGAGTTATAGTGAAGTTATCCTAAAACGGATAACCTAAAGATTAATCAACCCAAACGCGAACCTAACCTAACCAAATTTAACTCAAACCTTAAACTAACCTTAACATGACCTAACCTTAATGTAATTTTAACCTCATACTAACCAAACCTTTAATCTAATCTGTGGGTGTGGTGGGGTCAGTTGTGTTAGTACTCTACTCGTTTAAGACCCAACAATTCTGCATACGATGTGATGTGATCAGAGTGTATGATTTTCCGGACCACCTGATGATTAGCCACCCCCCCCCTTAATCTAACCTAACCTACTTTAACCTAACTTAAATTTAACCTAACTTAAATTTAACCTAACATACCTTAATCTAACTTAATATACCTTAACCCAACCTACCTTATTATAACCTAACCTACCTTAGAATAACTTAACCTAACATAACCTACTTTACGCGAACCTAAATCAACTTATATAATTAGGGTGTTTGATCATCGTATGGAATAAGCTGGAGGGAAGGGGGGCTAATCTTCAGGTGATCCAGATACCATACATATATATAGTTAAGAATTTAAACCTGGAAATAGCAATGCATGTTTACAACTCATCTTAGGCCTTACATCTTTTCTTAGTCCATAGCCGCGAGTACTGACAACGCCGTGGTCGATTGGGAGAGAGAGGGAGGAGAGAGTGTACTGTAGGTCAGGCCAACCGGGGTCCTCCTCTTCCTCCGTCACAGTCCACGCGTTCGCCTCTAACCCGAAGGATGAAGTTAGCGGACCTGTTGATGTAACGACTGGGTTAGGTGGAGGTGTTAGCCATGAAGATCAGGTAAAGTCAGGTTGGAGACATGCAGAGGCAAGTAGCAGAGGCGAGTTGATGCAGGTAAAGGCAAGTAGAATCGGGTATAAGGCAGGCTGGTAGGTAGAGTCAGGCTGCTACACTGACGACCAAAATCATTATCACAAATACATGACTATATATTACTCCACCTGTCGGGCAGTCAGTTGGCCGTAGGTAACACAGGGTGAGGAAAGATGCGCTTACGAAATTACATGTCTTCTTGATACATGCACTGTTAAATAATGTCACGATACGTCTCACCTTGACCATCATGAACGAAGTCCTTGAATGCCGTGGGACTGGTGAGGAGGAGACCAGAGGTGGCCGACCCCTTGTTCACACTCCACGTAAGTCCGTTCACAATGGCGTGGTCGTGGAAGTTTTGTCCAACCCCAGGCAGGTCCACCACCACGGGGATCTGATGAGCAGGTGTAACAGAGGAGCATAAGAATGAGCGAAACTGCAGCTGGTCTATTGGCCCATACTAGGCGGCACTTGATTACACCCAACCCTTATCACTCCTAAAGATCAAAACAAAATATACAGCCTCTTGTGGTCGCTGCATGGAATGTCAGGACCCTTCTGGATACTGGCACAAGTTAGCGTCCTGAGAGAAGAATCGCCCTTGTGGCAAAAGTTCTGTTCTAGATACAACATTGCCATAACAGCCACAAGTGAGTCCCGGCTCACAGGCGAGGGTTCTTCCCCTTTATCATATTCCTAGGTACGCCACAGTATGCATGTATTACATATACAGAACAAAACACCTTTTTTCACAAATGTAATTCGTCTTATAAGGTGGCCAACCGCAGCTTGCGAAGGCCATATTTAGTAAAAATCTCATATACGAGTATACTGTACCCGATTTAGTGTTTTCTCTTCCCCCACCCTGTACCTATTTACATCTGATGACCATCCATCACGACTTATTAAAAATCCCCTTTACAACCATACACAAAGTGCTCACTAAAGCAACATACAGGTGGAGTAACTCACGTGGTGCTCCTGCAGGTGTTGTGAGGGGCCGACACCAGACAACATCAGTAACTTGGGAGACCCGACGGCGCCCGCTGACACCACCACCTCCCTCCGTGCCAACACTGTCCTCACCTGCACCGGAAAGTACATTATAGTTCAATGTTGCACTTTGTGTACACTGAACACTGTGATCATGTGTTAGTTTAAGTTAGATTTAGGGTGCTTAATCTCCCAGCTGATAACGTGGAAATTAGGCACCCAATTTATTTTAAATATTTCCATAACATATGTTAACCAAGCTTCAATGTCGTGAACTAACAATTCTATTTCATCTTGAATTTAACATAGACACACCTCACCAACGAGTTCAACGCATACAGACCTGACCACGTTGTTCAAAGCGGACTCCGGCTGCCTGTCTATTGTCATCAAAGAGTACCTGTAAGAGCAGAGGAGCTTCTTGTTATGAATCTACCCGTATATAAACATTCTCATTACATCGTTCATCTACACAAACATTCACCCAGACGGACGCACATTACTGGTTACCGTGAACACTTACTAAACGGATCGTGTATCACTTTCTTTTTTTTTTTTTAGGTTGAAAAATATTACTTTATTTTAGGTACGATTATTTTATGTTCAAAACAGATACTGTAGTAGCACACCTGGGAGGAGTATATCTGGAGGAGGAGTATATCTGGAGGAGGAGTATATCTGGAGGAGGAGTATATCTGGAGGAGGAGTATATCTGGAGGGAGGAGTATACCTGGAGGAGGAGTATACCTGGGGAAGGAGTATACCTGAGTGACGTGGGCGTTGAAGGCGACATGTAGGTTGAGGGCGGTAGCGGCGGGCTTGACGTAGGCCTCAGCTGTGGACACTCGGCGACCATCCTGGGTAGTTGTTTCCGGGATGGAGAAACCTGAAAGAAGGAAGGAAGGAAGGAAGGAAGGAAGGAAGGAAGGAATAAGACAACAATGAAAATATTTCCTCCTGTCCACTAAATAAAGCAAAACAAAACCCAAAATAAACAGACAAAACATCGTAATAAACCCGTACAACTATGATGCCGACCACAGTATAGACCAGCAGCCCACACAAGACCATGTTGTAGGAGATGGTCCCAACTACCACAGAATGACGCGAGGCTGCCAGGACTGTGTGAGGGAGAGAAGACAGTCTGGTCTCCTCTCTCTCTCACACACACACACACACACACACACACACACAAAAGATTGGAGGAAACAGCAGTGGGCCTATAAGTCCATACTAGGCAGCCCCGTTTACACCCAACCCCTATCACTCATATATCCGTCCAACCTACATTTGAAGTTACCAACTGCCTTTGACAACCATTCACTGCCAACCTTTCTTCTAGGCAGATAATAGTTTTGTTCCCATTACAAGACACGATATTGTCCATCCAGTCTACTATGTCACCCACCCCAGCTCCTCACACACACCCTCATTTATATTCAATTAAAAATTCCTCCAAATCTGCCGACCTTTTGAGACTGTTGTTATCACCCCCCTCATAGGCCCAGTGTTTACCTTAACTCCTGTACAAGCTGAAGGGAGTCATAGGTGATTTTTGTGTCTATTTTTATAGGTATTTTATGGGTATTATTATCATTCGTGTCATATCCAGTATCAACCTTACCGATCTGTTCTGGTCCACTGGGGTCGATGATGCTGTAGCCGAGCTGCTGTCCCGCCTTCAGGAACCCACTGGTGACAGGGGCGCTGTACCTCTTGTCCTCCACTTTCAGAGGTCCTCCTCGACCATGGTACTCAGCTGCTTAGGAACCAAAGAACTGTTTAAAGGCTCTTGAATCTCCATTGTAATGTGTTGAAGATAAACCTAACCTTACCTTACCCTAACTTAACCTAACTGTTGTCAACATAACCCAACCTGGACATAACTCGGGTCAACACCACTAACCTGTATCAACATTGCGGGTTCCTCTGTAGTCCTCCGCCTTCTTGAAGTACTTGAGGACGTCCTTGTACCGCCAGCCAGGGTTGCCCATCGCCTCCCAGTTGTCGTAGTCCCGCCTGTTGCCACGGACGTACTCCAGTGAGTTTAAAACGGATGTCCCGCCCAGGACACGACCCATAGGGAAGGGAGACGTCTGGTGGAGTTACACTGAATAAAACTTGACTGATCTCGAGGGAAGGATTGGTTGTTGTAGCTCAGACCTAATCATTGCGCCCCGAGAACTTATTTTACCCAATCTTGGGAAATTCAGGCGTAAACTGAAGCAATATCAAGGTTCATGCAACTCAATTCGTGTTTGTACGTTTGAAAGTTAGGATACGCTACCTAGAGGATTAGGTTAGATTAAGGTCTTCAATCCTCAGGTGACATGCTGGGTGCCTAATCTTCACGTGATCTGAATACTATAATTAGACATAACGCCGATGCTTAAGTCAAGCCTCACACCGGTACTCACATTGTTGACGTAAGCCTTCAGTCCATGTTTTTGGGGCACCATTTTATACTTCCAGTCAGTATCAGCGTCCTGCAAGACCACGTTGTATGCAGGAACGACACTCTCAGGGGGCGGTGGTCCTCCAGCCTCCAGCAGCAACACCCGCCACTCCGCCACCTCGGACAGCCGCGCCGCCACCACGCCTCCCGCCGACCCTGACCCAACTGCCGACAAACACACAGACACACCACTGAATAGCTTTTTCCTCGGTGTCAAGTTATACTGATATACTTACTAATTGGGTATAAGAAGAGAGGCATGTACAGTGTATATCGTGAAGATTATTTCGCCACAACAGTCATCACTACCGCAACACTGTCATCACTACCACAGCACTCTCATCACCACCACCACAGCACTCTCATCACCACCACCACAGCACTGTCATCACTACCATAATAGTCACCATCACAACAACACTGTCATCACCATCATAAGTCACCAGCACCACAACACTCTCATCACCACCACAACAACACTGTCATCACTACCAAAACAGTCACCACCACAACAACACTGTCATCACTACTATAACAGTCACTACCGCAACAACAGTTACCACCACCATGATAGTGTTACCACCACTACAACACAACCATCATCACCACAACACCGTCACCACAACACTCACCATCACCACAACACTCACCATTACCACAACATACCAGGTGACGAGGAGTATCAGTGGCTGTAACTTACCGACGATGAAGTCGTACTGGAGTAAGAGGTCGTCGGAGGCGTCGTAGTCGTGTCGTGTCGTCCCAGGGAAGAGCACCAACAGCAGGAGCCGCAGCAGGAGGACAAACACCTCACTTGGTAACTGTGGCAGCTGCAGCGTCATCTGTCATGGAGATCTACCGACATTAACGGTCTATTTTTTTAAAGTATATATTTTTACTATTAGTTCTCCTGCCATTAACACTTCACCCAAGAACATTAACCAGCAGTAGGTTAACGTTACCCTTCACCCTCCCCCCAACACACACACATCCACTCTAGTGCCTAATTTACTCCGTTTATAACCAGTGATAGGTATTAATTCTCTATAACTCCGGGTCTTGCTGTCAGGTGTCGCCTCACGAGGTCTTCAATTAAAAACAAATCCTTGAAACACGAAATATTATGATGATATGTTGAAGTGTTTAGATCTTGCTTGCTCAGACGAGGGTCGTCATAAACCAAGTCCATCAGCCAATCACAACCCACCATCGCCTAAAAGCAAGACAGCCATTGGCCACATAAAGTCAGGGAGCCACCGGGGGTACAAGGCAGAGACCTATGTCAGTACGTCTTACCTTACAGGATTTCCCACGTCAACTGGCCCTAGGACTCCCTCCCTCACCACTGCTGCTTCAAGAAGTTTCCTTAAACATCCGGGTGTTGATAGTAACCTTGGGCAAGTGCCGGGGCGGGGATGGGGAAGAGGATGAGGTGGGCGGGAGGATGGGGAGAGGAGGAGGATGGGGTGAGGGGGAGAATGGAGCGAGGGGGAGAATGGAGCGAGGGGGAGGATGGCGGTGAGCTAGGGGAGGAAAGGGGGAGGGGAGTCTGGGGTAAATGGGAAGGAAGGATAAAGTAAGTAAGGAGGGGACGAGAGACGTGGAAGAATAGGGTGAGGGGAAGAACACTATAATTTAACCCCTTGTGGACGATGGTTTTTCTCCCCTGTCTTCCTCCCCCTTTTTCTTCATCTCCCTCCCATGCCTGCCTCCTTCCTTCCTCCTCTCTATTTCCACGGGACAATACACACACAAAAACACACTCAATGTCGACACTTACAATGCAAAATACCCGGACCTGTAGCACAAGACCATCCACTACTCCTGCCATAACCACGTCCGCCACACCTCCAGGCGGATCTCTGTAAACAGCTTGTCATGGAAACGTATTTGAAACTCTTCCATAGCATTAAGTATCTCACGACTCTGTATCCGCAACCTTCAGTTTAATTATAATAAAAAAAATAAAAAAAATCCTAAACTCTCTCTCTCTCTCTCTCTCTCTCTCTCTCTCTCTCTCTCTTTCTCTCTCTCTCTCTCTCGTATTTCCCGAAGAGTCTATCAGTTAGAAGGTCAAATTAAAGTACAGAATCTTTTCCAAAGGTATTCTGCCCTTGTGTGCTTGCGTCCGTTAGGTGTTTTATATTAAGTCAACAGTTAATGTTACCAAGGTTTAATTTATAATACTCATAGCTAGGAGAGAGAGAGAGAGAGAGAGAGAGAGAGAGAGAGAGAGAGATTGAAGTTCTCTGCATTAATTCTTGAAGATTAAAATATAAAGCCAGTTTACTACGTTTGCCCTTTAAGAAACATTTTACACTAGTTCCCCCTAATATCAGCCAGAGACTAAAACCGTTTTCTTTGAGGTGAGAAAATACCACATTGGACCACACTAATCCCCACACACACAAAATTAATCGCCAGAAAAACTTGTCTACTGCACAAATTGAAGTAAAAAAACAAAAAACAAAAACAATAATAAAAAAGCAGACGCCATAATAATGTATGAATCTTTGCAAGTAACTAGATTAAAAAAAAGGACTCGTGGTAAACTGACCCTTTTACAGTATATATTTTTCTCTTGCGTTAAGATCCTGTTCAGATTTTTTTTTCTGTTGGTAGTTCTCAGCCGTAATGACCCAGGCGTTGAGGGCCAGTAAACCAAGATAATCGGTCAGTCTATAAGTTTGTTTTTAATAGCTTAGCCCTGTTCTCTATTACCGAATTTAATACGTTATCCCCCTCTCTCTCTCTCTCTCTCTCTCTCTCTAATGATGGGGGGCCCTAAGACAAATTAGTGGACAAATTGTGGGTTTTATGGTTAAAGCACCGAAAGTGACATACTGTAGATCATGTTTGATATACATGAAAATATTTATGATATAGAGCCAAGCTTAATATTTCCCCTGAAGTCCGTAAATAGGAGAAATTCAAGATGGCCACCAAATAAATTGAAAAATCGAACAAACCTCACAGCATCGGCAATAGATCATATGTGAACATGTTTTCACACTTAAGACATCCAATACTTCTGTCATTTCTAATAAAAATCCTAGAAATCTTCACAGTTCTTCCACATTTGGTAACATATCTGCCTCACTATAAGACAAAACAATAGGGCATAATAAAAGTGGATTTGTTTTCTGGGGAATAAAATCCCCCAAAACAAAATAATCCAAGAGTATGGCTTTTGTGTATGAATGAATAAACCCAATAATATCACTTAAAAATAAATAAGGAAATGGAAACGAACACGACTATACCCTTAACATGTAAAAGAACAACACCTAAAAACCACCTTGTCTTATTGGCTGAAGGAACAGTAACCCCATTAAGGTTATCTTACAAGGTCCTGGGAGAAAAACATCTAACAGCGGAACCTGAGTGTGTGTTGAGAAGCTGAATTTTTTCCCCAGTGGGTTAAAGGGCACAGGGTTGGTTTGGGGTCGTGTACCAGTGACTGTCGACTACGGGTGCTTTTGCTTCCTGTAAGTGGCTCTGGCGTGAAGTCCCTTGTGTAGTGTATTAAAATGTATTACTTGGCCATTGTATGTTATATTTGTCGTATTCTGGATAATAATGATTACTAATACTAATACTAATACTAATAATAATAATAATAATAATAATAATAATAATAATAATAATAATAATAAGGCTGCATTTACACCAAACGAGTCGAATCGAGTCGATTCATTAGAGTCATTTGACTCGTTCCCGTTCATACCGAAAGAGTCAAAACGAGTTAGGTTTGGCACTAAATTGTCAGAACCCAGCCTGATTTCGAGCAGTAATGGACACATTCTCTCGCTGAACTATATGCTCTTTTGTGGGTTCGGCGCCGGAGGAGAGCCCGATTGTGGATACATGAAATCAACACCAAAACAGCAGATTTTGATGCCTTTAGTCATTTGTTCCCAGACTTGGTGAACCATCCAGACAAATTCTACAATTACTTTAGAATAACAGAGAACATAGAGAGCAAGACGCTCCCGAACAAGATTTATCAAATCCTCCAGCTGCATGACGTGGTTTCCACCACAACGGACGCGCGATGACTGACGAAAAAATGGGTCTGGTCGTATTCATGAAGCGACTCGACTCGGCGTGACTCCCCGGTGTGAACGGTTTCTGGAAAAATATATAAATTAATGTGAACTGCAATGGCGAGTCGAGACGAGACATGACTCGTCTTGACTCGACTCGTATTGGAGGAACTGCAGCCTAATAATACTGATACTACTATTAATAATAGAGATACCAATTGACCCTTCCACTAGTACCAGCGGAGATACCAACTGATAATTCCACAAGTTAGTTACCGGTTGACCGTAAAAGCGAAGACGAGAATGTTTTAGACACAAGGAACTACATTTTCTACACATTATTTTTAAACCAGTATTACCCAAGATGTCGGCAATCCAAATTCTTACATCTAATATTAAGCCTGCCGTATATTTCTCTCTCAGGATCACGATTGGATGCAGCGTCATGACAGAAGGGGGCGGTACGGTGTGTGTGCTTACTGTATATACGAACAAAAAACTGGTCTATAACCTTACATCAGATTTACTCAATGATCATAGAAATTGTTACCAAATTTAAATCCATCCTAGTTTGTGGATCAGTTTACTCGGATATTATCGTATATTAAGATCGACTCGAGTCACCATAAGAACAATAATACAAATTTGACTTCAATAAATGCTACAGATAAGAAAATGGGTTATAGAAAGATGAACAAAGTCCTCAGCCACCAGGTGACAGTACCAGTCAGGCACGGAACATCCGTACAGGACTCACCGACCACTGTATTACCTTCTGCAGTAGAACAACGAGTCACGGGAATATAGGATAACACCAGGTAATCTAAATAAGATCATTGCAAAACTACAATTAATTACATGTTTTCCAAAGAGAACTACAAAATAGTGATTGGTCTCAGGTGACGCAATACATGTTGGTAGACGAAGCTTGGGGGAAAGCTTAAAGCTATATTTATTGGCGCTCATAAGGCAGCACCGTTGAAGAAGATATGAATAAAAACTAGGACTGAATCATGGACGGCTAGGGAGATGTTATATTCCATCAGACACCAGTCTGGTGGCCCTCCTTCGGACGCTTTCAATCAACTGACAGTCTCTAGCATGTCTCGAGGGACGGACAGCCATGGTATCTGAACTCCCTTCTAATAAGACTCACTAGCAGCCTTTACTACTCGATTTTATACCTGCATTGGCACTTTATATTATATACCTGTACTTTCCATGTACAGTACGTGCGAAACCAATGTGGACATACAGTATATGACGATTTTACTGAACAAATGTCCAGTCATCTAGTGGCACCCCTCTTCTGAACACTTACCGTTGTTTATCCTCTACACAAATAATCGATGCTTAAGTTTCCTGTAAAGTCAAATATTTTCCTTTAAATTGCACAAGACTTACAACAATCACTTGCTAAAATCACTAGACCAGCACTGCTTGTTGTCGATGTGCCACACAGCGTACACCATATTCCTCACCTCACAACTATCGCCAGGTACTGAACACCTCTCCAAGTGATTCAACGCATCGAGAACTAAACCGATCACCTTTTTTTTCAATTATACATAATAATATTACACGTGAATTAAAGTTATAATTTGCTAGAGGTTTTAAATTCTAATGGTTTAATCTGTAATCTATAGTTACTTAGGGGTAAATAGACCTGTTTATATATAATTTTGAAGTTTATATTCACTTTCCATGTCTATTGGGGGCTCATTGTGACACCGTTTTCTATGATACTCCTAGTGGATAGATCTTGCATAATATTCTTCTTTTTTTAATTTTTAGTTCCCATTAAAAATATATTCGAGGAGTTATTTATTATGCCATTATTTTTAAAAAGATTCACCTGTCTCTTACTTGCCTGATTACTTTACATCATATCGTTGGTTTAATAAAGGATTCATTTCACTCGTGTGTGTCATGCCAGTGTTCACGGCTTCATACTAAACGTTTTGCTGTTAAATTTTATTGCTACATAATATTTTAACCTCAAATTTAACTCTGCCATTTAATAAGTTTGTTCTGTAAAATAATAGGTAGATGGACGACACCTCGTTCCTCAGCCAGTAAAGTTTCATGAACGCATTTGCCCTCACCACGAGTCTCCTGCAGCCACACACACATTGTTCAGGGGTCGTGTGAGCTATAATACTCCATCAGATAAACGTTTCTACGGGGTTTTAAGTTAATTAATCAGGTAATAAAAGACAAACAGGTCCAAAACACATTATTTTATTATAAATAAAAACTATAACAAAATTGACGTAGAGCTAAACTATTGAGTGACACTGTTCAGTAACACGGTGTTGGTGGGATCTCTTCAGGTGTCACAACAGAGAATGTTTACCGTATGAACAGTGCTTGATAACTCTGGTAATTGAAACACCCTAAACCACCCTGGTGAACGGTGCTTAACCCTGGCAGTTGAATCACCAGATACCTTTACATATCTTCACCATAATATTCAGTACTCGACCTACCCACGAGTACACACCACACAATAATAACAACACCTGTTATTATTTGCAGGTGTAGTACTTGAGAATATTGTGGTGGTGTGGCGTACTCGAGGTTTTAGAATGTGTTGGCTGTCATACTTAACACCCAATCATCATACTAACTCTTTCCTGCAGTCACACTTGTTATAATGACCTAGAGGATTTACAACAATGCCCTGTACATAATACTAACACGTACATAAACCCGTGCGTCATGACCACAACTGGTTTGTTAGAGAGAGAGAGAGAGAGAGAGGTACTCGTCAGGGAACTTAAAGTTTCAGAATCAGAAAATGTATCCAGAAGTATCAGAAAAAAAAATAAGATGAAGACATAAAATAAAGGTAAAGTGTTGATGATATAGATGTACACTAATCAAAGGTGTACACGTTTAATTACATAATTCTAATGTTTGTAACTTTGTACACACACACACACTTAATGTACACACTGCCAGACCAGAAAATCACTTGAGGTTTGTATACAGATATTATACCACAAAAATATTTACACTGGTGTGGCTTAATCGTAATAGTCGAGTCCTACTTCATAAGGTCACACTCAGAGGTGACCCTTAAGAGACGTACAATGGAGGTCATTTATCCTTTGACGTCCCTTGAGTTTTATCTCGTAATTTTTTTTTGGGGGGGTTGGTATAATAGTGTAATTACTAACCTTGCTACGCGCTTAATGACCCTTGTTGTTGAAGCGCATTAATAACACTATAACAACAACAAACTACGTCCTCACAGGTATATCCTTCACAGAGGGTCAACAGGGGCGCCCCAATCCTGCTTGATGAGGTCGGCGCCCTTCTCACCGATCATGATAACTGCAGCGTTGGTGTTGCCAGATACCACCAGCGGCATGATGGAGGCGTCGACCACCCTCAGTCCTGCCACGCCCCGCACCCTGTAGAAGGGATTTTTGTTAGTGTACTTCATCTCTCATCCCCACACAGCCTCACCTCTCACCCAGCCTCACCCCTCACACAGCCTCACCCCTCACACAGCCTCACCCCTCACACAGCCTCACCCCTCACACAGCCTCACCCCTCACACAGCCTCACCCCTCACACAGCCTCACACAGCCTCACACCCTCACACAGCCTCACCCCTCACACAGCCTCACCCCTCACACAGCTTCACCCCCACACAGCTTCACCCCCGCACAGCCTCACCCCTCACTCAGTCTCACCCCTCACACAACCAAGGCATAATTCGGCAACACTTTACTTCCCTTGCTGAACGGTTAAATCTTACGCACGTTAGTATAAAGAAATGTAATTTGTGGTCAGGAGTTAAGCTGTAAACAGGACTAGACTCTCTCTCGCTTTTTTTCTCTTTTCTCCAATATTTTTTGTGTTATAGAGAAGAATCGAACAGAAGGGTGTGACTAATATTAAGTTGATGTTTTATTAAAACAAATGTATAGATTCTTGATTGACTCAATTCAGTATTTACTTATAATTCGTGTTTATCATAAAAGAATAAATGAATGTTGAGGTAATATCTCGTGTTTATATACATTCAATTATTAATGAATCTTTGATTTTCTTTTTGTGGTTAATTTGAAATAAATAATTCAACCCTGAATATATGTGGTCATAGAAAATGGTTATTTAGAAAGGGCACTTAGCACTAACTTGAGGGTGTGGTCGACGACGCTGTAGTGGTCTGAGGCGGGACCCATCTTACAGGAGCCAGCTGGGTGGTAGGTCGTCTTGGCCATGTTTCTCGTATAACATGCCCAGTACTCGTCTGACCACAACACCTGCTGCTCACACCCGGGCAACACCTGTAACACCACACACCTGCTTTATGAGTAAGTACAGTAAAAGCTAGAAACGAATCTTAGTGTTTTTTGTATGGGGGTACTACAGGTTTTCAAGGAAAACACCTTATGATAAATTTTTGAGGACGATCATTTAACTGTGGTTCCTAAACTAAGGTAATTTACCCCATTGAGGTAATAAAGACAGTATAGAAAGTGCATATACTGTATAGCTACTGTGCAAAGTACCATACTCAACTAATGCAACTCAGGCGCTGGGACTTCTGTCCGAGTTTGAACACGCTTGCGCAAATCCGGCGGGTTTTTTTTTTTTTTTTTCTTCCCTCGTGAAAACATCGAGCCGGAACCGGCTGGGTGTATCACCTGATGCTACACTGACAGGCACTATCCACCACCAAGCCCCCGGATCGGGCAGTTGGTTGTTACCAAAGTAACCTCATTAATCTCACTGATTATTGGGTATAAGGAACTATCTAGGAATGTGAAGAAAAATGTACAGAAGGCAAAGAGGAACTACGAAATCAGGATAGCAAGAGAATCCAAGGCGAATCCAAAGGGATTTTTCAAGGTATATAGGACAAAGGTCAAAGACAAAGTGGAGCCCTTAAAGTCAGAGGGGAAGTGATCGATGATAGTGCGGAAATAAGCAAAGCATTAAACAGCTACTTCTTATCAGTTTTCACAGAGGAAATTCACGAGGAAACGCCCGAGGTGGAATTGATATTAAGGGGAAATGAAGAAGAGAAACTAAAGGATATCACTATCAGAAAAGAGGATGTTCTTCAGAAGATAAATAAATTAAAGAAGACAAAATCCCCAGGGCTGGATAAAATTTTCCCTCGAGTTTTGAAAGAGTGTAAGGAACAGATTAGCGGACCCCTCGTAAATTTATTTACAAAATCATTAGACACGGGAGTTGTGCCAGACATATGGAGACAGGCAAATTTAGTGCCCATATTCAAAGAGGGAGACAGAGCATCAGCGTCAAATTACCGGCCGATTAGCTTGACGTTAGTAGTGGGGAAATTTCTGGAATCAATTATAGCAAATGGCATCCGATCACAATTGGAGAAAAGCAAATTAATCTACGACTCTCAACATGGATTTACAAATGGAAAATATTGTCTAACAAATCTGCTGACTTTTTTTAGGAAAGTCTATGAGGTAGTTGATAATGACGAAAAATACGATGTTACTTTAGTAAGGCATTTGACAGAAAACTGCATCAGAGTCTTCTGAAAAAGGTTAAGGCTCATGGTATCGAGGGGAAAGTCTTAAATGGGATAAAATCATGGCTCACCTATAGAACACAGAGGGTCAGTGTAGATGGTTTTAAATCTGAGTGGGACTGTCTAACTAGTGGGGTTCCCCAGGGGTCAGTACTGGGCCCACTCTTGTTCATAATCTATACATAAACGATCTAGATACTGGGATCAGCAGTGACATAAACAAGTTTGCGGATGACACCAAAATTGGGCGGCAGATTAATTCAGGGCAGGATGCAAATACACTGCAGGAGGATTTAAATAAACTGCAAGAGTGATCAGAAAAATGGCAAATGAAATTCAACACCAGCAAGTGCAGCGTACTTAATATTGGAAGAACAAATACGGTCATGTACACAACCTTAACATCAACCTAGAGAAGTCGACTTGTGAAAGAGACTTAGGGGTACTTGTAAGCCCGGACCTACGGCCTAGAAAACAGTGTGTTAATGTTCGAAATAAGGCAAACAGAGTATTAGGTTTTATATCTAGAAGTGTAAGTAATAAGAGTACGGAGGTCATATTGCAATTATATCTTGCGCTAGTCAGGCCGCACCTCGACTATGCTGTTCAGTTCTAGTGCCCTTATTATAGAATGGATATCAATTCACTGGAATCGGTGCAGCGAAGATTGACTAAAATGATTCAGGGACTTAGAAACCCTTTCTTTCAAGATAGATAAAAGAAACTAAACTTGTATTCCCTATAAAGACGAAGAGTGTGGGGAGATATGATAAAAGTATTCAAGTGGGTGAAAGGAATCAATAAAGGAGATATAGATAAAGTTCTTATAATATCCGAGCAGGATAGGACTCGTAGCAACGGATTTAAGTTGGATAAGTTTAGGTTTAGGAGGGAGATAGGAAGGAACTGGTTCACAAATAGGGTGGGAAACGAGTGGAACAGGCTTAGGAAGGAACTGGTTCACAAATAGGGTGGTAGACGAGTGGAACAAGCTTAGCAACTTTGTATCAAGTGCTGGAACGCTGGAAAGTTTTAAAAGGAGGCTAGATAGATTATTGGACGATAGCAAGTGGATGTAACTCTCGACAGGAGCTGCCATGCGCAAGCCATCCGGCCTAATACAGACTCCTTATTTTCTTTTGTTATGTTCTAAACCAGAGTTGAAAGAACATAAAACTTAAATTTGACCTGTAAATATATTTCCATCGGTCTTATGATCACAGTACATGATCCAGGTGGTTATATAGGCAACAGTTGGAGTGAGAGAAACGTGAAAAAATGGGTAATGCTAAAAAAGGTTTTACACCGCTGATTCCTTCAGGGTTAAAACGTAACCATCGTCCTCAACGAGTTATTGAGTAACTTTAAAATTATCGTCTCAGAATTAATTAAAATGTTCCTCTCAAACTAAACAAAAATAATAAAAATTGCACCCCATTATCCAAAATGAAGTATATCAACCCACCATTGGTATCTGACACCCAGCCTAGTGTAAAGGTGCGAGTGTTTAAATCTACGGTGAATTGGACGGACACGTCTTACCTTCCTCACGTAGGGTACAGTCAACAACATTACCTTATCGTGAAACTTAGCGCCGTGGTCTACTCTCAGTGCTGGCGCCTTACCAACCTCCAGGGAGAACTTGATGCCTGTGTAAAGTTAATTTCCTGAATATACTTAAATTTCTGCTTCAAGTGTGACGTAACGTAAGTAATGCAAGTACAAAAGTAACTTCGATACATAACACGATACCGTTAAGTTACGACATGGAGATTATAGACATGATACAGAGTATAGACATGATAGAAAGTATAGATAAAATGATAAATTAAAATAAGGTAGAGATAATTAAGGCTGGTTTTGACTGTCTTTGCGAGTTACGAATTTAAGAAAGAAAGAAAAGTTGATAATATAACAGAGACAAACACGATAATAGAGAAAAAAATCATGAGGTAATAAATCCAATAAATAGAAGAAAAAGACATGATGAAATGAAGGTAAACAAATGTAAAATAAACATGTAAACAAAGACACAAGGAACCAAACAAAACCACAAGAAGGAACCAAACAAAGCCACAAGAAATAAACAATGCCACAAGTAAACAGTACCACAAGAAGTAGTTGGGGTCAATGAGCGGGGCGTCCAGAGGGTCACTAGATCTTAACGTCACTGACCCACGACTCTTAGGACGGGTCAACATGGGGCCAATGGTGAAGCCCTCCTGACCAATCAGTGACTTGTAGTGCTTGTGGAACAGCTGTCGAGAGAAGCAGGGAATTAGGGAGAAGATACTAAGGTTTGTGGAGGTGGAGTAGAGGCAATGAAGATAGTGGATGGTGGTAAAGGGTGGATGGTGGTGGTGGTGGTGGTAAAGGGTGGATGGTGGTGGTGGGTATGTGATGGTGGTGGTGGTGGTGGTGGTGGTAAAGGGGTGGTTGGTGGTGGTGGTGGCGGCGGTAAAGGTGGATGATGGTGGTGGTGGCGGTAAAGAGTGGATGATGGTGGTGGTGGTGGTGGTGGTAAAGGGTGGATGGTGGTAAAGGGTGGATGATGGATGGTGGTGGTGGTGGTAAAGGGTGGATGATGATGGTGGTGGTGGTGGTGGTAAAGGGTGGATGGTGGTGGTGGTGGTAAAGGGTGGATGGTGGTGGTGGTGGTAAAGGGTGGTGGATGGTGGTGGTGGTGACGGTAAAGGGTGGATGATGGTGGTGGTGGTAAAGGGTGGATGATGGTGATGATAATGCCAAAGATAATAATAATTACAATAATAACTATTGTTACCACAATCAGTAAGGAGTAGGATAAACCTCAACTAAATATTATGTTAGGTTGTAAGTCATGTCATGTTTATTGGGCGTGCCTGCCTGTGTATAGAGTAGTGGAGAGATACAGACAAGCAGAAGGATGGTGTTGTGGTAATAGGTTGGAGTCGTTTGTGTACAAAACTCCTGACGCAGGGAACTGTGTCAGCCCAGGTAACGCCTGCGACGAGGGGCACCGACACTTCAGTTCTTACCATCATAGGGTGAACACCTAACCTATTCAGTTTGAGACCTCCAACAGGTGAGTTCAACCTGTAGTTAAGTTTACTCAGGTACTCTGTGTCCAGTGTGTTGTTTATTATTGTGACATGGAAATACAGCAATTAAACATTTTGTATGATTATCTACTTATGATTTATTATGCAAAATACTAAGAATTAATTATATTCAACAGGTTTGACCGAATTATAACGTTCGAGTTGAACGTGACTGGTGTTATTATCCCTTAATCGCCCTAAAGGCGATTTAAAATAAAAATCTCTCTCTCTCTCTCTCTCTCTCAATATACAGCAGCGGTACTGTAGTCTCTTACATCTCTCCTGTAGCCGATGCCATCTGTTATGAAGAGGCCGTAGTCGAAGGCGGGGGTGCCGGACACAAACAGGTACTGAAGGTCGGGCCAGTATGGGTCACCTTCCTCCGCCAGACTCCAAGCGTTCACCTCCACCCCGAAAGGACAGGTGAGCGGCCCTGTGGTGGAGGTAAGATTGGGTTTAAATAGTGCAGGTGAGGATGGAAGTGGTATTATCTGTTAATGATTAATTAGGGAGTTAATTATATAAATGAGTATAATAATGTTAAGTTGGGTTGTATAATTATTTTTTTCAACTACTATCACTACTACAATAAATAATAATAGTAAAAATAAGCCTAAGTGTGCACAGGAGACGTTAATACTACACATCATTTACCTAATCCTCCCTCACCTTCCCCATTCTACCTCAGATGAATGTTAAACCGGAGCAGTATCCCCTGGGTCAAGAAAGGTCATACAAAACTCCAAATTATACCGTAAACTTGAACTATCTCACCTTTTTTGTATTTCAAGTAATCTGTTATCGCTTTAGGCTGTGCGATTCGGAACACTGTGTCAGCAGAGCCTTTGTTTACAGTCCAAGTAAGACCGAAGATGGAGGGATGGTCATGGAAGTTCTGACCAACCCCGGGCAAGTCCACAACCACCGGGATCTGGGAAGAGGTGTGTTAATGAGGGTAAGTTAGCGAGAGTGTGTTGGTAGGGGCGATCTGTGGTGTAAAGGGCAGCATGCTCGTCTGGCAAGCGAGAGGGACCCGGGCAAATTTCTTTACGCCATTTGCCTCTGTCTACCCAGCGATTAGGAACCTAGGCCGGTGTACACAAAACTTTTCAGTGCTAACAAAGAGTTATTAAGGCTGACATTTTCCTGTTAAGCACTAATAGTACATACACAACTTTTAAGAGCCAGAATGGTACTGTTAAGTTAAAAGACATCGGGTGCACTTTTAAGTCCCGTAATAGTCGTGATTTGCCCCAAAGACAAACGTCAGAATCATCTAAAACCGCAAGAAAAATAGCGAGATTTTTTTTTTTCATGTGACAAAGGTGATGGGTGGTTAACGAAAAATAACCCCCTCTTTTTGTCTTTATTTTTCAGGAAAACCTTCAAGCGGCCATTCAATATTAACTTTTTCTCTTCACTGGCATCCACCAATAATAAAGTCTGGTCTGCTCTCTAGTTGGGCTTCCTTTTCTTTCGTGGGGTTGAGACTTCCATTTCCTCAATAACAAGTTTGTTTACAAACAGCACGGCAAGGAAAAGCCACTGATCACTATCCTCGGTTAATATATCCTCCTTCAAACGGCATAGATTAGGGGGTTTTTAATGATCAAAATATATATATATATATATATATATATATATATATATATATATATATATATATATATATATATATATATATATATATATATATATATATATATATATATATATATATATATATATATATAAATATAAATATAGAAATTAATCTTCATAATTTTATTGAGGTTATTCAGCCAAAAGACCATTTTATATGATGAGCTCCTGCTATCATTAGCGCTGTTTAGCGGTACTTAACACACAACTAATTGTGCGGTAAAAGTTTGCTAGTTACGCTTTGTGTATAACTTTTAAATTTTACTGCTAGCTAACAGTACTATTAGGTCATTAGCATAAAATTTGTGCATTCGGGCCCTGAATGTTAAGCGATTTGCGGATCGTGTTCCGGGGTAATGGTTAGCCAGTGCAGTTGGCGAGTTGTCCGGTCTTTTCTGACTATTCCTTGACACTAGGTCATGCAGCCCGTTAACTCAGGGTGTGGTTGTTGTGTTGGCAACAGCTTCTACACCTTAAACAAATTCACGCCTAGGTGACCCTTGGGCCGGCCATCCTCGTTACACGAGGGCAATTATTATTATTATATTATTATTATTATTATTATTATTATTATTATTATTATTCGTGAGGATGTGTTAGTAGAGGTGTGTTACTGGAGATGTGTGTGTGTGTGTTACGATCACTACGGAGGGACACCATTATGGACTTCAATTAAATAAACACCAAATATCACGACACATTATATCGTCAAACAAGAGCAAATAAAACCAGGTGATTAACGGTGTTGAGCTGTAATGTTGAGATCAACGTCACTCATTCACCAGGTTAGGTTAGGTAATTGGGTTGCTTAAACGAAGCAGATAATCGTGTTATGATGAACCTTGTTTGATATGGTGAACAAACTGAACATTGATACCTGAGTAGGGACAGGTGTGTAAAGGTAGGGAAAGGTGTGTAAAGGTAGGGACAGGTGTGAAAGGGCAAGGACAGGTGTGTAAGGTAAAGAGGACCTTAACTCACGTGGTGTTCCTGCAGGTGTTGTGAGGGGCCCACACCAGACAACATCAGTAACTTGGGAGACCCGACGGCGCCTGCTGACACCACCACCTCCCTCCGTGCCAACACTGTCCTCACCTGCAGCGGGAAGAAGTGAAGTGAAGTGAATCTCTCTGTCTCTGGTCAGCAACACGACCGTAGAGATGTTATTACCACCATCACCAATCGACTCAAGACAACACGAGTTAAGACACTCACCCGTCCATGCTGCTCAAAGCGAACACCGACGGCCCTCTTGTTATGGTCAAACAGGATCTAGAAGAAGAATTATTAGCATTGTCAATATCAGTCATTTTTATTATACCAAGAACAGCAGTATACCAAGAACAGTAGTATACCAAGAACAGCAGTATACCAAGAACAGCAGCATACCAAGAACAGCAGTATACCAAGAACAGCAGTATGCCAAGAACAGCAGTATACCAAGAACAGCAGTATACCAAAAACAGCAGTATGCCAAGAACAGCAGTATACCAAGAACAGCAGTATACCAAGAACAGCAATATACCAGGAACATCACTATATCAGGAACAACACTATACCAGGAAGAACACTATACCCGAGTGACGTGGGCGTTGAAGGCGACGTGTAGGTTGGGGCGGTTAGAGGCAGGCTTGATGTAGGCCTCAGCTGTTGACCCACGACGCCCTTCCTTCTGGGTCATATCCGGGATGGAGAAGCCTTAACAAGAGGAAACTATTAAAAAATAAATTTTAAAATCTTCAAAACAATTTCCTAGATCAACAAAAAGTTATTTCCTCACTGAATTATAAGTCGTGGAAAGGGGAGATAAGTTTTCAGCCAACTTCGAATGCTAGATGGTGTCGTGTTTATGTTGTGATCGTATATACCTTTACCGGCGACCTCTGGTGTAATGGTCAGCACGCTCGCCTCAGACGAGCGGACCCGGGTTCAATCCCCGGGCATTGTGAAACTGTGGAGCAGTTTCTTTACGCTATTTGTCTCCGTCTACCTAGCAATAATTGGGGACCTGGATGTTAATCGATTTGCGGATCGTATTCCGGGGTGTCCGTGGCGAGGTGTCCGGTCTTCTCGGACTATTCCTTGACACTGGCACATGCAGCTCGTTAACTTAGGGTGTGGTTGTTATGTTGGCGGCAGCTTCAACACCTTAAACAAATTCACGCTTCGGTGGCCCGAGGGGCAACCATTAATTTTATTAATCTTTCTTAACGCTGCACATTCACCTGCCTAATTTAAACCACAACTTTATCATCCCATAAACAGTTAAATTCCATGAGAAACTACTAACTATTATACAAGACATCTAAGGAATTAATGGTAATGTTTCAACATCTTTCTCTGGTTACTTCAGTCGACGGTCTGTTTGTCATTGTTTGTTTTGGCCGCACTGTCTATATACCTGATGAACCGACGTGAAATCGTATGACGATTTTACAATCTATCTATCTAACTATCTAACATGCAATAATTGTTAACGAAAAAACATTAGTGTGACTAAGAAAGTTTGTTTTTAAGTTTAGTTGTGACAATAAACAATTATGAAAGGACTCCACTAGGAGGGTTAAAGGAAGGAGGGATTCGTCAAGTTTTTTTTTTTTTAGATTAGATTCGGATCGTTTTTAGATTACCCTTCAGTTTATTTCACCTGATGATCAAACACCTTAACGCTACCTAACGGGATGGGGGGGGAGAGTTAACATCGGTGTGTTTAATCTTAATATAAACTGAACTTGGAGTTAATCTTATGTAATCTATACAAAATCCGTATCACCTGAAGAATCGTCACCCCAGGATATCCCACCTGAAGAATTGTCACCCCAGCCTGCTCCACCTGAAGAATCGTCACCCCAGCCCACATTGAATATAATTTGTATAATTAGGATAACAAATATATTCCTTTGTGTTATGCATTTTTATTGTGAAAAGTTTAAAGAAAAAAAAGAATAATAATATACACCTAACCTAACCTAACCATGGAGGGTCCTGACCCCACCTGAAGATTCATCACCCCAGGATATCCCACCTGAAGAATTGTCATCCTGCCAAACTCTGGGGTGACAATTCTTCAGGTGATCCAAAAATCTTTGTCTCGCTTACCAATTTGTTCAGGTCCATTTGGGTCTATTATCTTGTACCCAAGCTGCTGCCCCGCCTTCAGGATGGCGTGCATGATGGGCGTCCCCCACCTCTTGTTGTCCACACTAGACGGCCCTTCAAACCCGTGATAGGAAGCTGTCAGCCGCCACCACCACCACGCGGGAATCAATAGATATTTCAATAAAAGACTCACAAAATAGATAAATAACAGAGAGAGAGAGAGAGAAAGAGAGAGAGAAATAATGCATAGGAAGAGATTATTTCACATAATTAGTATTTGGAAAATAAATTTAGTAAACATGGTTTTCTTCTATGAAAATTATCTCTGAAAACGTATATTGAATGAGTAACTTGGGTAAACTTTTATATAATAATTATGAACAAATAATTCGTAAAATCAAAGATATGTGGAATATAGAAAACGTAAAGCAACAAATATCTGTACGGAGACATAACACATAGGTAGGAAGCATGTTTGATTGACAGGTGAGGAAGGGTAACGAGGGTGTTGGACTGTAGGCGAAGCCAGGTGATGGTGTAGGTCGACGACGAGTCAAGTCAGCCTTGACCCCCAACTGTGTGTGTCTCAAGATTGTAACCACTTTCCCTCCTTACCCTGAAGATAAATTTATCTTGCTATTCCTCCCCCTTTACTTCCTTTCCCTCTTTCTCTTTCACCTCCTCTCCTCATCATCCCCCTTTCTCTTCCTCTTCCTTCTACGTACTGTACGTGTGTGTCTATGTACTTTACGTGTGTCTATGTACTGCACGTGTTACTTGTGGTCTGTGTGTGTGTGTAGGTATTTGCCTTATTTACCAAATGGCCACTCACTAGGAGGCGTCACATCACAAAGAAATGGCCCGGGTTCACATTCCCATCCCTTTCAGGATTTTGAATGTTTCAGCGAGATATACCCTATTGTGCTTTGTCTGAAGGGTGTGCGCGAGTTTAATAATAAATAATAATTAACGGTTTATGAAGATAACATGGCAGCCCGAAGGCTGAAAATATGCAATGAACAGAGATGATAAGTTACATATGGTGAAATCGGGGAGTGGGTCACTTGATTGACGAAAGCTTTCAAAACATATAGATTAACTGTAGATCTGGTACTGTGGGAGCTGGTCTTGTAGACATTCTTGTGACCTGCTGTCGGCGCAAAGACTGGCTGTCAAGCCGCTACCTCACTACAGCTGCTGATGCACCACATGGTCCGGGTAGGTCCTCCAACTCACACAAGGTGTTGGAGATGGTTCTTGTTCCTCGTGTGATGTAGTTAGGAATTCATACTTCCTCACCTGGGTGGAGTAGGGAGTCCTCACTTTTCTCCTGGTGTAGTTTGGAGTGTTTCTTGGGTTCTCATCTAGTATTGGTGGTGGCGAGTGTACCGTGGGCTGGGTGTGTCACGTCAAGGGTCAGGTCAATACTGACCGCTAAGCACAATTGTCACTAACATTTGTTTCTTTCTTTTGAGTTGAAATTGTGTGTGTGTGTGTGTGTGTGTGTAATGTCATTACTCTTCCTTTATTTACATTTTCCTTTCATTTCTCCTTGTTCTTATATTCGTTCATTTTTTCTCCCCATCACCTTTAGTCAGCTTTTCCATGTTTGGTTAAGTGAGTGTTAACTTCTGAATTACCTTGGCAGTATTTCCTGTCTCCTTCTCTCACACGTTACTCTCACTTTCTCAGTCCCCCCCCCCCTTTCCATTACGTCACCTCTCCTCTCAGGTTATGTTATGTTTTTTACCTTTTCTCCAGCTAGCGCTTTCAGGACCTCTACTGGCTCTTTCGCTCCCGACACACCTAGAGACCACCCCCCCCCCCTCTACTGGTTGGAAGTTTCATTTATAATGTCTCGTCTGTGATATAATGATAATACACAAAATCAAAAAGTACATTTGCAATTTTATGTTAAGTAATATGACAACAGACGAAGGATTTTGACAACCCTACCAAGACAATGGGATTCCCAGTGTTTATTATAAAATTCATTGAACCCATCTGTAAAGATACTTTTTTTACTCCAGTGAGTAGATAGGATGAGGCTAATGGTATAGACAAATCTTGACACTTCGTCTGTCGCGATGGCCGAGAATGTAAGGATTCTCGAAGAAACTAACCTAACCTAACTCGGAGCTAGAGGCAACGTGACTAGATTTGTCAGTATCTTATCCTCGGTACAGAAAATAACGCTTCACTACCCACGGAGGAGGTGACCAAGAGACTGGAGATCAGGGCCACCTCATCATGATATATTTCTTTTGCTTTCTCTATTCCACTTGACCCCGCTCCTTCTCACCCCAGCCCACTCTCCCTAGTCCCACCCCGCCACACACCACGCCATCTTCAAAGCGCTTCCTGAGAAAATAAAACTCCGCCTGGTGACATCATTTACCACACCGATTTTAACGTGCCCAGCAGTACCTCTTCAGACGATGAGCACCACTCAAATATTAAAATTACAGGTGGTCCAAAATGAAGCCCTAAGATTCGTCACAGGTGAAAGATACCCCTTCACCAAAACCACAGCTGAGATACATAAGAGACATGAGAATAAAACCCATCAACCAGCAGCTGCACACCCTGGCCAGCAGAATCTTGCAAAAGATAGAACAATCAGGGCAAGAACTCCTTTAAAGATTCCATCCAGATAACGACAACAACCATACATGATTCCCAAAAAGTTACCAAATCTCAAAAGGTCCATTACCACCCCCGATCTACACGGCCAGGCAATAGACAACCTCCCTAGACCAGCATCTGCCAGTAGGGTCGGCGGAATATGAAATAAGGCCCTTAAAACACCCATATATGGGACAGGGTAGGATGTCTAGTGCCTGTACCGACAGACAATAACTAACCCAACACAACCCTAACACACTATTAGCTTAGCTAGGCGGTTAGGGAAGGGTAAGTTTAAATGTATACTATACAAACAGTATGAGCGTTAGAAATAAAATAGACTTGCTGAGAGAGGTTGTATTTACCGAGAATGTAGACGTCATAGCAATCACCGAAACTGTGATGAATCTGGCGAGCAAAAACTTTTTATCAGAGTGCCACATAGAAGGGTACAACCTTTTTCACAAGGACAGGGAAGGGGGTGTACTCTTCATCAGGGATACATTAAAATGTTGCATAAATAATTCAATAAAGGGTGAAATAGGAACCGAGTCTGTATGGGTAGAAATTACAGAAGGAAGAGAAAAACTAATTATGGGAGTGATTTACAGGCCCCCAAGTCTTGGGAAAGAAGCAGCTCAGCCCATATGGCAGGAAATGAGTAGCGCAGCAAAATACAACAACCTGTGAACTTCAAAAATATTGACTGGGACAACATTGTAGGCGACTATGAATCTGAAGACTTCCTAGATGCAGTACAGGACAATTTTTTTAAACAACTAAACAGAACCGACTAGAGGTGACAATATATTAGACCTAGTATTAACAAATAAAGAAAATATCATCAGAGATATCACAGTAGAGGAAGAACTATGGAACAGTGATCACAGAGAAATCAGGTTCACCCTAAATTGGGAAACGAAAAACAATGATAAATATGGTCAGAGTCCCAAACTTTCGATTGGCGGATTATGAGGGGTTAAGAAAGTACCTAGGTGAGGTCACCTGGGAACAGTCAGGTCAGTCCCCAGTAGGAACGGGTGAGGTCACAGGTGACAACAATTGATCATGACTATAAAATATTCACTCCTATGCTACGTAAAGCACAAGAACAAAATATCCCATACAGAAAAATTAGGTCAAATAAGAATGAGCCAAGGTGGATGACCAGAAAACTTAAACATGACATAGGAATAAAGAAAGGAATTTATAAGAAATTAAAGGGAGGAGAGGAGCAGCTCAGAAATAGGTATAATGAACAATCTAGGAATGTTAAGACAAATGTAAGGAAGGCAAAGAGGGACTACGAAATCAGGATGGCAAGAGAATGCAAGGCGAATCCCAAGGGATTTTTCAAGGTATATAAGACAAAGGTCAAGGAGAAAGTGGGACCTTTAAAGGAAGAGAGAGGGGAAGTGATCGATGATAGTGCGGAAATAAGCAAAGCATTAAACAGCTACTTCTTATCAGTTTTCACAGATGAAATTCACGAGGAAATTCCAGAGGTGAAACTGATATTTAGGAGAAATGAAAAAGAGAAATTAAAGAATATCACTATCAGAAAAGAGGATGTTCTTAAGAAGATAAATATATTAAAGAAGACAAAATCCCCAGGGCTGGATAAAATTTTCCCTCGAGTTTTGAAAGAGTTTAAGGAACAGATTAGCGGACCCCTCGTAAATTTATTTACAAAATCATTAGACACGGGAGTTGTGCCTGACTTGTGGAAGCAGGCAAATGTAGTACCCATACTCAAAAAGGGAGAAAGAGCATCAGCATCAAATTACCTGCCGATTAGTGTGACGTCAGCAGTGAGGAAATTTCTTGAATCAAATTTAGCAAATAGCATCTGATCGCATTTAGAGAAAGGCAAATTAATCTACGACTCTCAACATGGGTTTACAAAGAGAAAATCTTGTCTAACAAATCTGCTGACTTTTTAAGGAAAGTCTTCGAGGTAGTAGATAATGACGAAAACTATGAGGTTATTTACTTACTTTAGTAAAGCATTTGACAGAGTATCGCATCAGAGGCTTCTGAGAAAAGATAAGGCTCAAGGTATCGAGGGGAAAGTTTTGAACTGGATAAAATCATGGCTCACCGATAGAACACAGAGTCAGCGTAGATGGTGTTAAATCTGAGTGGGGGCTGTGGAACCAGTGGGGTTCATGATCTACATAAACGATCTAGATACTGGGATCAGCAGTAACATAAGCAAGTTTGCGGATGGCACCAAAATAGGGTGGCAGATTAATTCAGGACAGGATGCAAATGCACTACAGGAGGATTTAAATAAACTGCAGGAGTGGTCAGAAAAATGGCAAATGAAATTCAACATCAGCAAGTGCAGCGTACTTAATATTGGAAGAACAAATAATGTCATGTATACAGCCTTAACAACATCAACCTAGAGAAGTCGACTTGTGAAAGAGACTTAGGGGTACTTGTAAGCCCGGACCTACGGCCTAGAAAACAGTGCGTTAATGTTCGAAATAAGGCAAACAGAGTATTAGGTTTTATATCTAGAAGTGTAAGTAATAAGAGTGCAGAGGTCTTATTGCGACTATATCTTGCACTAGTCAGGCCGCACCTCGATTATGCGGTTCAGTTCTGGTGCTCTTATTATAGAATGGATATCAATTCACTAGAGTCGGTGCAGCGAAGAATGACAAAAATGATTCCGGGACTTAGAAACCTTCCATTTCAAGATAGGTTAAAGAAACTAAACTTGCATTCCCTAGAAAGACGAAGAGTGCGGGGAGATATGATAGAAGTATTTAAGTGGGTGAAAGGAATCAATAAAGGGGATATAGATAAAGTTCTTATAATATCATAGTAGGATAGGACTCGTAGCAACGGATTTAAGTTGGGGAAGTTTAGGTTTAGGAGGGAGATAGGAAGGAACTGGTTCACAAATAGGGTGGTGGACGAGTGGAACAGGCTTAGCAACTTTGTAGTAAGTGCTGGAACACTGGAAAGTTTTAAAAGGAGGCTAGATAGGTTCATGACGATAGAGAGTGGTAGTAACTCTCGACAGGAGTTGCCATGCACAGGCCAACCGGCCTTTTGTAGACTCCTTATTTTCTTATGTTCTTATGTCAGCCCGCCCTCTCTTACCTATTCCTAAATTTCTTCAATTTCCGAACTATAACTTCCTTCCCCTACCTCTAATCTTCTTTCACCTGTCCTTTCTCTACACACACACACACACACACACACACACAAACACACACACAAAAAAAAAATCCTTCCCCCACTGTGACCCGTCCCGTCCCATCCCACCCCACCCCAACCCAACCCATTCCTCCCTGCCCCGTTTCGCCCCATTCTAGCTCGCCCCCTTCGTTCTACCTCACCCTTCCTTTTCCATGGTGTAGAGTCACTATAATTGGATGATCATCCTTCACCCAACACGCTCGCTGCGATTCTTCTGTGGGTTACCTCGGTTATCTTGCACTGTGGCAACCTCTCACCTGCCCATACCATCTCACAGGACCTCTCTACACCCTTCACTCTTTCTGATTCGCTGTAGTGTATAAAAATCTTCTACTTCGAAGAGACACAGAGATAGAGAATAATCGCTGAACTCTTCACTAACCTGTATCAACATTGCGGTTTCCTCTGTAGTCCTCCGCCTTTTTGAAGTACTTGAGGACGTCCTCGTACTGCCAGCCAGGATTGCCCATCGCTTCCCAGTTGTCGTAATCCCGCCTGTTGCCGCGGACGTACATCATCCAATTCATTGTGGAGGAGCCGCCCAGGGCACGACCCAGAGGGAAGTGACACGCCTGTAATAGGAAACGTTCAGTGTTGAAAGAACAGTAATGAGTCTTGGCGGTACCCGAGAGCAATGTCTTGGGATCTATCTTAATGTAACCTCTTAAGTATATTTCTTACCGAGTATGAATTGAACTCAGACAAATAATCTCTTCTGTATAGAAATCATCTTCCACTTATAATACAGTTTATCGTCTGTGTCAAGAAATATTTTGAACTGAACCCAAGTGCAATTCTATTGTGTTGTCATGTAGTCATGGCCACTGACACTATCACAAAATCACTTGTTATAGCTACATTGTTGACGTAGCCTCGTAGTGCGTGTTTCTGTGGCACAGTGAAGTAGTTCCAGTCAGCGTCACTTTGCATGAGGACCACGTTGAGTGCCGGAACGACACTCTCAGGGGGCGGTGGTCCTCCAGCCTCCAACAGCAACACCCGCCACTCTGCCACCTCCGACAATCGCGCCGCCACCACGCCACCAGCCGACCCTGACCCAACTGCCGGCAAACACAGGTCACCACTGAGTCAGATAATTAATTGGAGTGTTTATCTTTTTTGTTTTCTTTATTTTTACGGGGAATAGCCCACCAGGGCACAGGTCACCGACCCACAACAGGGCCTAGGTGGCGAGAAAATAGGAGTAAAAAGAAATTAAAATTAGAAAAGAAAGATTATATGAATCTACACCACGAAGATGCCTCCAAAGGCCGGTTGAAGGGTTCACAACTGTAATGTAACATATTTGAGCATGTGTGTGCAGATTATTTAAAAAAATTATATTTACACACAGTAATATAACTAGACTTAAACAACATAAATATAGTGTTAAGACACGCCAGGAATCCAATGCTCTGTTCATTCATACGAGAGACAATAAGCACTGCATTGACTGGAACAATGCCTCCTCAGTATTACCTTGTAACTCAATTGTCAGGAGGAACATTATAGAATTTATTCTTATTAATATACCGAATCTGTAAACATGAATTTGATAATGGCATGTACAAACTGGACAATTTGTGATTAACAAGATTTGTAAGATATAGATATAGATATATAACCAAAAAAGGTTTTATTGGTATCTCAAAATAATATTAAAACAAATATTAATAATAACTCACAGATAAAGAACGTATCAACTCCTTTTCTTCATGACTATCAGTGAATATGATGACTGTAGCCACTAATTCTTAAATCAATTATAGCAAATAGAATCCGATCGCATTTAGAGAAAAGCAAATTAATCTACGACTCTCAACATGGGTTTACAAAGGGAAAACTTTGTCTAACAAATCTGCTGACGTTTTTTAGGAAAGTCTTCGAGGTAGTAGACAATGACGAAAATTACGATGTTATATACTTAGACTTTAGCAAAGCGTTTGACAGAGTACCGCACCAGTGGCTTTGAGAAAAGTTAAGGCTCATGGTATCGAGAGAAAGTTTTAAATTGGATAAAATCATGGCTCACCGATAGAACACAGTGTCAGCGTAGATGGTGTTTAATCTGAGTGGGGCTGTGTAACTAGTGGGGTTCCCCAGGGGTCAGCACTGGGCCCACTCTTGTTCATAATCTATACATAAACGATCTAGATACTGGGATCAGCAGTGACATAAACAAGTTTGCGGATGACACCAAAATAGGGCGGCAGATTAATTCAGGGCAGGATGCAAATGCACTGCAGGTGTGGTCAGAAAAATGGCAAATGAAATTCAACACCAGCAAGTGCAGCGTACTTAATATTGGAAGAACAAACACTGTCGATGTATACAGACTTAACAACATCAACCTAGAGAAGTCGACTTGTGAAAGAGACTTAGGGGTATTTGTAAGCCCGGACCTACGGCCTAGAAAACAGTGCGTTAATGTTCGAAATAAGGCAAACAGAGTATTAGGTTTTATATCTAGAAGTGTAAGTAATAAGAGCGCGGAGGTCATATTGCAACTATATCTTGCGATAGTCAGGCCGCACCTCGATTATGCTGTTCAGTTCTGGTGCCCTTATTATAGAATGGATATAAATTCACTAGAGTCGGTGCAGCGAAGAATGACGAAAATGATTTCGGAACTTAAAAACCTTCCATAACAAGATAGGTTAAAGAAACTAAACTTGCATTCCCTAGAAATACGAAGAGTGCGGGGAGATATGATAGAAGTATTTAAGTGGGTGAAAGGAGATATAGATAAAGTTCTTATAATATCCGAGCAGGATAGGACTCGTAGCAACAAATTTAAGTTGGATAAGTTTAGGTTTAGGAGGGAGATAGGAAGGCACTGATTCACAAATAGGGTGGTGGACGAGTGGAACAAGCTTAGCAACTTTGTAGTAAGTGCTGGAACGCTGGAAAGTTTTAAAAGGAGGCTAGATAGATTCATGGACGATAGAGAGTGGTAGTAACTCTCGACAGGAGCTGCCATGCACAGGCCAAGCGGCCTTTTGTAGACTCCTTATTTTCTTATGTTCTTAATTACTGCACCACTGTCAGGTAAACAGTGGAGGAGACGGGATGCCGAGTGAGGATGTCAGTCAGTGGAACCCAACAGTGAAAAGGATGACGCTGAGCTCAGACTTTCTCGTGACAAAGTCCACAAGAGGTGAAGGGAGGAACTCCTGACACATAAAATACTTATTTACAGAAACTTTATGAGGCGGAGAGATTCACTCTACCTTCGACGGTTGAGAAATAACTTCAAGATCTATCATAAACTCGACAGCAACAGAAGGAAGACACTTCATCTGTCTAGTCCCACGTCTGAACGTGTCAGTAACAATCTAGATTTACCGACCTGAGCAGCTGTGTCAATAAACTTGTTTAGTTCAGGTACACGACGGCTCTCTCAATAACTACTTTCCCGAAGCAAAATTACATCGCATTCGTCGTTACCAGGTGGGAGTCGTAACAAACTACGCCAGGTATATGGTCTCTACTACGTCAGAACCCACCTTGCTGATGGACTGCTGCAGGAGGACCTTAGTAACCTACCACGCCAAGAGTTAACAACGAGGCTTCAGGAGTGTTTGTCAGGTCCGCCATGACACTGAACCTGCCAGGAGGGAGGTCGTGTGGCGGGTCAGAGGCAGCATCACTTACCAACAATAAAGTCGTACTGCGTCAAGAGGTGGTCGGAGGCGTCATAGTCGTGCCGTCCAGCCCCTCGGAGCATCACCATCACCATCATCCTCACTATCGCCCCGGGGATGAAACGCGACACCCGATAGATCATGACGTGAAGGTGTTCCGCTGCCCGGCTCGCATCACGCGTGTCTCACCTGTGCTGGGGGTGGTCAGGTAGAAGGTGCCTGTAGTAGTGCCTCCAGCAGTCTTTACCTCATCTTACTGTAACTGTATACAAGATAGATGAATTGATATGAGTTAGTTAATGTGTGTGTGTGTGTGTGTGTGTGTGTGTGTGTGTGTGTGTGTAATAAAAATAATAATTAACGACTAATTGAAAGAGCATGGCAGCTGGAAGGCTGAATATATACAGTTACATAATTAGGGAATGGTGTGTGTGTTCCAACTTGAACAGTAGCATGACCCGCGGCAGTAATAGGCACACATCTTGTGTGACCTTCCTTACCACATACCGAACACTTTCCCACAACGTGTGTCAATCAGTGTGTCGTCACGTCACTCAAAGACTCTCTTACCTAACTTTTAATGCTGTCACAAACTGTATGTATGTATGTACATAATGTACAGTCAGTATGTATGTATGTATGTATGTATGTATGTATGTATGTCCTGTATGTGTGTATGTATTAGTTGGAAGTATCAGACAACAAGACACATTCTATAACGAAAACTTAAAAATGTTTCTAAAGTACACAGTGACGGTAGACTGTGGCGTGAGGCGGCGGCTTCCTGTGTACACACCTGGTTCACTCCTGCTACTCCTCACTTCAGTTTGTTATGATTGACTGATCTGAACGAGGCCACAAAACAAGCTTAAAGTCCTCACGGTATAGTATAATGTCTTGTTTACGGATTCAACAGTTCCTGGAAAGGTTCGGTTCAGTAAGGTGTTGTTGGTCCTTTACTGTAATTGGCATCTGAGCTGTCTGGCTTTCACTTTCAACTGGTGGCGACCCATTTAAGAGTGGAGATGGTGAAAGTGAATATTTCGGATATTTATCTTTGCACATTCACTCCCCCCCTCCCCCTTCCATCCCTCCCTCTCTCTCCACCATCACCGTGCCCGATGGTCCGTCATGGTGAGAAGGCTGGCTGACCACAGCACAGTTTGTGTACACTAATGACAACCTGCCTTTACCTACGTCACAACACGTGCAGGTAGAAAATATCCTCATAACGATGGCTTTTCCCGTCGCGAATTAGGAAACGCGAAACCGATTTTCATGATTATCACAATACAAATACGTGAAAGAGAAACACCGAACCTTATGTTATTATGATGCAGCCTTCAGTACAGTACCTGACCACACACAACACTGTACAACATTTCCGGGTCCAGTTTTATATAAGTAAGCAAATAACCGAGCGGTAATTGGAGGTGAAGAGGATGTAGCCAATGCACCTAATGTTATGTAACACCTAAGGTTGACTACCACGCCTGGTGTTGTGTGTGAGGACGAAACACTCCCTGATGTTCACCTAAAATAAATAGACAAACTAACAGATCACCTGATTATTAACCACCCTAACACTAGCTGGGAGGTTGAGTCTCACTTGGCTATGTAACGTTAGATCAGGTTAAATTAACATAAGGATGGTTAACCTCAAGATGAAATAAGCTGGAGGCAAATCTCAGGACAGAAATGAAATTCTTTCACATTTCTCCAGAAGGGTTGACCCCCCCCCCCCATGCTTACCTTCTTCCCATTAACGCTCAATCTCTTTCACCATCGTTTTATTTTTCTTCACTTCTGTATTTGACATTTATCTAACCTGAATAAATCTACTATGTCAGGTTTCTCCAGACCAACTTACGATTCACTTATACTATTTTTCGCTTTTTAACGCGAAAAAATTTGGCTCATATTTTTATACTCTTATAAGAAGAACATAAGAATGGAGGAAACTGCAGCGGGCCTATTGACCCATACTAGGCAGTTCCTTTTACACCCAACCCCTGTCGCTCATATACAGTATTCATCCAACCTATGTTTGAAGCTATCCAGCGTATTCTAGTTAATGATGATGTTCGGTAACTTGTTCCGCTCATCCACCACTATTTCCAAACCAATGTTTACCTACCTCGGGCCTCAAACTAAATTTGTCTAATTTTAAGCCATTGCTACAAGTTCGCCCCTGTACTTTTACTTTTACGTCCTCGTTCCCTCAAGGCCCTTCACCAAAATTAGCATTAACAATGTGCTGGACTGACCATCAGCCTGAACCAGCGTGACTACATATCTACATACAGCAACTGGGGGTAGTTTCATTCCTTACCTCCTTGACCAGACCAGACCTAACTAAACTTAACCTAAACTAACACGACTAAACCTAACCTACTCAAATTTAACCTCACCCACAAACTCTATCCCACATATTGGTACAACGATCACCTCAGCGACAGTGTACAGCCTCAGGGTACTCCAGCACTTGCGGCCCAACTCCTGACACACAATCCACCACAACCACACCAACTGTCTCTCCTACCTCCCCCCCCTTCCTCCCGACCTAAAACAATCACCATGTGTACGATTTCGTTTAAGATAAAAATAATAAAGATAAATACCAATAAAGGAACTATAATGAATGATAAAATATTGATAACATAAAAACCATCATTTAACCATAAAAATTATAATCAACAGGAGAAAAATTTTAAGAAAAATAATATTGAGAAACCAAATATTTATTATCATTTACTTCCTGTACCATCAATACAGTGTGTGTGTGTGTGTGTGTGTGTGTGTGTGTGTGTGTGTTTGGGATGTTTGTCTCTCCTTTTAAGAAAAAAATCTTCAGGTAAATAGAGCGTAAATCACATTACCCGAAAGGTTTAGTAGTGCGCCTCACTCACCCCCTCCTACAGGTGTCCAGGTAACTCAAGGGGGTGAACTCTCGCTGTGATTAACCAGGTAAAACACACACAGGTGAGCTATGGACGCAGTCTAGACATTACCTTAATTTTTTACTGGCATTAGACCACCCGGGCAAAGGTCACTGACCCACATCAGGGCCTGGGGGCGAAAGTATAATAATAAAAATAATAATGATAATAAAATTAAAATAAACAATAATAATAATAAATAATAATGAATAAATACAAAAATTAAAAAATATATCAAAAGTGAGAAACGATATACTGTACAATATGCATGTTGTGTCGTCAATAGTAAGTGAAACAATTGAGACCCTGCAATTGTGTGTAAATGAGGCAGAAAGTCAGATTAGCAACCTGGGACTTGGTCACAATTTTTGTGATGCCATATGGCAGCAGGGTCTACCATAGACAACACATTATGCTTACAATATCTTCCCAGGCGGTAGTACCTCCCTGTTTGATAACAGGGAAGATTAATTCAGATAACCTGAAGATTAGACACCCCAACTTAATAGCCACCATAACGCTAACCTAATCTAATTTAACCTAACCAAACTAAATCCAACGTAACCTAACCTCCAGGTAGTGTTAGGTTGATTAAATACAGGTGATGCAGTTATTATTAAAAACACTCAAGGGAATAATGCACAACATCTTCGTGCCACACCTGGCCGGGTCACGTGTACCTCAGACACACACCTGGCCGGGCAACGTGCACCTCAGAGACATACCTGGCCGGCTTACATGTACCTCGGAGACATACCTGGCCGACCCACGTGTACCTCAGACACAAAAACAGGTTTCACAGCAGGTGCAACAGCAAAAACACGACATAGTTCATTCTTGGCTATCTAGGTCATTGCCGTATGTAAGGTCATGTCTACCCAAGGTCAAGTTATTTTTACTCCAACAACAAGTAGTTACTGATCCAAGAGGGGTTGATCTAAGGGGGAGCTGATCCAGGGGGTTAAGTTAGCGTTAGTGGGATTAATCTTCAAATCATCTCCTACCCTGAAACATACAATTTACTGTAACTCACTACTGCAGAAAATTTACATTGGATACAGACTTAGAGATTTAACCTAGATAGTGTTTTGGTGGTTGATAATAGCATGTCTAGCTGGCTGGGTTAAGAATGCAGTCTATAAAAAGTGGACATTTACGAGGCATCCTGCAAACATGCCAGACTGCTCCACACACAAGATAACTTAAGGAAAACTTCACACACCACCAAGAACAACTTTTACTCTTTACTGAAAATATTTCAATAGTTGCTGGAACGAAACCTATTCTCTCCACATTCCTAGGTTCAGCTGATGGCTTAGTTAACGATCAAACAACGTTGTTAGCTCGACATGGTGAACGATAAGATAAGTTTCCTAGACAGTGTTATTGCATCTCCAGCGAAGAGAGTGAACGAGGGGCACCCGGCAACATGCCGAAGGTCAGAGGAAAGTGATTTTTGTTTCATGAATGAACAACATGGTAAAAAAAGGTAATTATCTGAGGTAGCTGGAAGCAGTGGCAGCAGACAGGTAGGTAGGTAGGTAGATAGGTAGGTAGACGAGCTCCTCGCCTACCTGTGTAAAGGACTGTACTGTCGGGTTGTAACACTCACTCGGTCGTGATCTTTACTTGAAGTCAGTCCCGTTGGGTGTGCGGTAAAATTTATGTAGCGTATTAACACACACGGCAAAACACGGTATAAAAACTTGTTTATATAATGCTACAAGTACCCTTATTGACAAAGATTACTAGAAAGATGCTAGTGTTTGAGTGTCGTCGACCACCGAGGTAAAATTGTACAGATTTTCATTACAGGTGTGTAGATTGCGGTAGACCCCCCCCACCCCGAAGCCACCCTCCACCTAGGCGTTGGTGTTCCCAGAGAGAGCCGGAAAGGAGGTGGTAGGGGGAGGCGGGGGAGGGGTTAAGGACGTCGGGAACCTCCACCACACCTTACTCTGTTCAATATTTATTTATTTATTCATTTATTTATTTACTTACTTAAGATCTATCTCAACTGAACGAACACATTGTGACAAAAAAACATGGTTCACCTTCAATTATAACATCATCTCATTCACCTAACAACGACATCATATTGATATAATAACCTGATTTGCGTGTACAAAAAAGAATAAAATGTTAACTAGTGAGCCATAATAAGTCGTCACGACCCAGAAAGTTGAAAGTAGCTTCATCATGTGTGTTAATAGTGACCAGGGAGACAAACCCAGGAGCGAGTCAGGTAGTGAGTGTATTAAGAACTGGTGGCAAAGTTTTGTAACATTGGAAAGACTGTCAATACCCAGGAGCGAGTCAGGTAGTGAGTGTATTAAGAACTGGTGGCAAAGTTTTGTAACATTGGAAAGACTCAATACCCAGGAGCGAGTCAGGTAGTGAGTGTATTAAGAACTGGTGGCAAAGTTTTGTAACATTGGAAAGACTGTCAATACGAGCAGTCCCGGGTATGGCTATTTGTAGGTGGGTCTGTCTGTCTGTCTTGCCCTGGGGGAGGTGAAGTCTAGACTGTAGAGGAACTGGTGTGCCCCCTCTCTCTCTCTCTCTCTCTCTCTCTCTCTCCCCACAAATTTCAACTATTCTTTTGCATTACACAGAAACACACATCATTGTGCTCTTACAAATTATTATTCTTTTCTCTCACATTAACAAGGACAAAATTCCCCGAACACTTTTGTTGATATCAGCCACCATCTACTTAAGGGTCACGTAGGCAAAGGAACTTGTGATTTTAACATTATATTTACGGTTACTTTTCTTCGTGTTTTCTGGCGTCATTTATAAACAAAAGTATTATTAGCTCGTTATAAAACAATCACATAGTATAACCGCCAAGTTGATGCTAGATCTTGCCAAATATCTAGATAATTTCGGACGTTACGGTTCAAGGTAGACAAGACGCTTTCTAACACAGGCCATGGTCACTATATAGTAGGGGTTTTTTTTTTACCATGTATATCTTCCTTTATATTCACATCGAGAGATAATTACATAAATAAAAAAGTTCGCCAGAGACACTTTCAATGATTGGCTAGAACATGTACCATTGACATTCACTGACACGAGTGCTATAGTGAGTGTTAGAATTCTTAATATTTACGTTAACTAATGATATTTTAGTTTTCTATGTTCAGCAATAACGACATAGCTTCACTTACCCAGACTCCTCACAGGTTTATATTATCCTGGAGGTCTTACTCACAGCTTCAGTCACAACCACGAATCGGGTCTCTGTTTTGAGGTGAAGAGACTTAACAGTATCGCAAGTTTGGAACGAAGAACGAAAGAGTTTGGAACACTAGTTTCAGCCTCGCATCTGTAATTTCTTTCATCAATTTAGATGTCTGTTCGAGTTAATGATTTAAGAAACAGTTAAAATCTATCTTTAAGTTTCCCAGAAGCCTTGGTTTCATATATACTGTTCACTAACACAACCCGAGTCCTGTATCTGTACGAGAACACGAAATTTGAGCAATTTTCTTTCTCTTCATTCGTTAAGTTTCCCCACTCCTTGTCTTGTATATGTACCTCTTCTCGTTCTATTTCTTATTTATCGACCGTTTTTTCTTCTTCCTCTCGTGGTAAGTGTGTTTAGGCCTGACGCGGCGGTGAATGATGGTGAGCAGCGTACTGTAAGGTGTCGGACCTCTAACTGGCAGCGAGCAAGACGCTTCCACCCCTCAATGCACCATTCACCTCCTCCCTCCGTCGCGCCACCGTCAGCCAGGTTGTCTGGAGGCATCGGTGACCTTGAGCCAGAGTTATGGGGCAAGGTCAGGAGCAAAGTGACCTTCACCAACTTTCACTTGGTGAGGATAAGACCCGTCTGTGATCCTTGGCTGAAAACTTTGTATGATTTTTATTGTTACTATTATTTTTCCTTGCGCACCACTTTCATGCAGATGGCAGATGAAATTTTAGTGGTCAAATGTAAATTACTTAGCCGAGGAGATGTCAACAGAAACCACATATCAGATGAACAACGTTGATGGAGAAATCCGACTGTGAGAAAGAATTAAGGGTAATGATTAGTAGGAATCATAAACCAAGTCAACAATGCGCATTTGCTCGAAACAAGGCTGACAAAGTACTTGGGTTCATACAAAGGAGTGTTAGTTACATGACTAGCCAGAGTATCTTAGAACTACTGTATATTTTGCGAATGTGAGACCTCACTTGGATTATGTAGTTCAGTTCTGGGGCACTAGAACCTTGAGTATACTGTAGGAACAGATTAAAGCATCTGAATTTGCACTCCTTCGAGAGACAGAGTGAGGGGCGATATGAGTGAGGTGTATAAATGGAAGCCAGGGTTAAACAAACGTGATATAACAAAGTTACTTAAAATTATATCCAGCCAGAAACGAACTCACAGCAATGATTTTAAATTTGACAAGTTTAGACTTAGGCGTGAGATAGGTAAACACTGGTTTGGAACAGTTGTGAAGGAGTGGAACAAATAACCAAACAGCATTAACTCGAACACGCTGGGTAACTTCGAGTCGTGGAACAAGTTGCTAAACATCATCATTAACTCGAATACGTTGGATAGCTTCAAACATAGGTTGGATGGATATATGATCGAAAGGGATTGGGTGTAAACGGAACTGCCCAGTATGGACCAATAGGCTCGCTGCAGTTGCCTCCATTCTTACGCTCATTATAATGTATCTCTGCTTTCCTCACTCTGGCTGTCCCCAAAATAGCTCGAGAGCGAGAATGCGGATAAGCACTAAAGTAGATAGGCTTGATCAGCATGTGATAAGGTCCACGTGATAAACTTTCGATGCAAATCGCGCCACAAATTTTTATTTTTATGGTGTATTCAGCCAACGAAAATAGATTATTTCGGATGTTACAGAAAACGATGACATAAGGCAGTTTCTAGCAGCGACTAGATTAATTTAATGTAACAGCATCACCGATATTTACACCACCATGATAACGGTTCATGGGAAGGGTTTGCAGATGTTCTCATTTATTTACCAGTTCATTTTATAATATTATTATGATAATGATGATGATTATGATAATGATTATTAAATTATAGCAGCATATACCCAATAATTCATCTAATCAGTAACAAGTATGAAACAACATTTATACATTATTGAGACGCTATACATACTAGGGGACGCTATACACGTTGAGAGATGCTATACACACTAGAGGGACGCTATACACACTAGAGGGACGCTATACACACTAGAGGGACGCTATACACACTAGAGGGACGCTATACACACTAGAGGGACGCTATACACACTAGAGGGACGCTATACACACTAGAGGACTATACACACACACTAGGAACACTGGCTATACACACTAGAGACGCTATACACACTGACACTGAGGAACACTGTACGCTACACTAGAGGGACGCTATACACACTAAGGGGACACTGCACCCACCCAGGAACACTGTACGCTATACACACTAGAGGGACGCTATACACACTAAGGGGACACTGCACCCACCCAGGAACACTGTACGCTATACACACTAGAGGGACGCTATACACACTAAGGGGACACTGCACCCACCCAGGAACACTGTACGCTATACACACTAGAGGGACACTGCACCCACCCAGGAACACTGTACGCTATACACACTAGAAGGACGCTATACACACTAAGGGGACACTGCACCCACCCAGGAACACTGTACGCTATACCCAATAAATTAAAACTACTACCGGGTATTTAATTATGTTGATTCTTTAACCACCGCGTCACTAACACTAACTTGCAGAGGAATTGTTGTGAAGTTTTATCTTTGTAATGTATTCTGTTACGGCCTTTTGCTTTAGCTCAGAGGAATATTCTGCCTTGTTTGAACGTAAACATGAGGGAACTACTTTAATCTCGGAAAAAAGTCAAGAAAAAAAAGCACGGAAAAACCTAACCTAACCTATGTGCAATGCCATCATATATATATTGTGTTGTCAATGTATACAAGTCATGTGACTTTTTTCCTGTGAGTTTATTTCCGTTCACCAGCTACTTTAACTTTCTTGTCCGTGAGTGATTCTTACTCCCTGTTGTCACCTGTTCCTGATGATCTACTGGTGGTGGTCAGCTAGTCACTCAGATCACCGGGGTTGGTCAGTCCTTCACTCATATCACCGGGGTTGAATGGCCCTTCACTCAGATCACCAGGGTTGCATGGCCCGTCACTTGGGTCACTGTGGTAGGTCGGCATCTGTCCGTAAATTCCTTGAAGCATTCCAGACAGAATAGCAACGTGTGCCACACTGTGTCTCCCGGCGGCCTCACTATAACACTGTCACTGGCTGGTCGCTCTCCATCGCCACGTCTAGTCAAGCGCGGGAAAGACAAGCTGCTATCAACACTTCCTTGACTGGTGGTTAAGGATTGTTTGTCTTGTTTGATACATGAGTGTACGCAGCTAGCATGGCGGTAGGAACACGCTGAAGGAACATATTTGATTCTAGGTCATACAGAGCGAAATGACTTGACCACTCTACAAAACCAGACAAGAGAGAGAAAATACCACAGTGAATAATGCTGAGTATGACAACAGACAAAAAAAAAATTCTATGAAATCAAAGGTTTTGTAATTTGGTGCCTAATAAGAGAAATATCTTATCAAAAGGCACAAAACTCTTCTGGATTCGATTCTTGGGTCTTAAGGTATTTTTAACCGAAAATCCAACTTATGAGGCCGAATATGTAATCATCACTATGTAAATGTAATTGTGGAGAAACTTCAATTTGGGGTAACCACACACACTCATTCCCACACTCCTTGAAATGTCGACATCATCAAAAACATGCTTCGTGTGGCCATCAGGCGAGTGGTGTCATATCTTACGCTAACTGTATATCATTGTCAACAGTGTCCAGGAAAATACCAATAGTACTTTTACTTTTAATTCGTCATTTTACCAGTTATCATCCTGCTAACCTTTTGGGCAGTTGTTCTTTGTTACTTTGTTATGAACTCTATCGTCCAGTGTTTGTACAGGAGGAAACCAGAGTACCCGGAGGAAACTAGATGGCATGTTTGGTAGTGCCACACTGGAAACACCCTTCTCACATCTACCCTGGGAATCGAACCTACGACTGAAGTGGTGAGAGGTAAGTGGGCTGTACCATTTAATTAAGAATATGACTACACAGCAAGAAACTGCGAGAGGCGCTCCAAAACCTCCTTGAAATGATAAATAAAAAAAATAAATGAGTTGAGCTGAATTTTTTTATTATTCATTCTGCTGAAGGTTAGTTCCGGATAGACTGACAGGGCCTGGAGCCATCGACTATGAAGGCCCCCCCATAAAAAAAAGGTGTCTACTTGGCAGGCTGGTACTCAACTAGCTCATGACTCAGCTCAGTCTTTTTATATTCTTTTTAATTGTTACACCACTTACACTTTGTAATTATTTGATTTTATTTCCACAAAAGTATTAAAGCAACAACTTACATATAATTTTCATAAACATTATTGTTCATACATTTTACACACTAACAATTAAATGTTCGTCTTTCTAACTTTGGCTATGTCAATTTTTTTTTATAATACTTTCAGTGTCCAAGGAGTTCAACAGCTCATGGTCAATCGACAATATGCTCAACTTGTTCAGTCTGTCTCAGTAGATAGAGTTTCTCAGGTCATTTTGAATTCATTTAAGTTTTAAGAATGAACTTTCACCTGCACAATTTGTGCACGCATGCAAATATATATTTTGAGTAGAATGTTCACATTAACGAAGGTATCTACCATAGGATCAATGAAAGTGAACATGAACAGCTCTTGGTTATGATCCTTGTCAGATTCATCAAGGCAAATATCTGGATCTGGAAGGAGTCCAGACAGCTGAACCAGCTCATCACTGAGTGACTCTTCAACGTCTTCAGGATAAGCTTCCACTAAATTGGTTGCTGCTTTGCTTATATTAGCACTTGACAGATTAGCTAAATCTGATAAAAAAAACTTGTTTTACAGATCTTCATAATCCTGTGACCTCCTTTGAAGAGCACTGACAAGGTTGTCCACAATGAAGAAAAGCTATTGCCTGAATTTCTCCCTCGATGATCTGGAATTACTTTCTGATGTTCCATCTGCAAATCTCTGTCGCCTCAGCCTTGGGGTAAACCCGAATGGCGCATTTTAGGGCTATAATTATCAATTCGGATATATCTGAATTTTTCAGTCAATTATCATGATATTATCAGCTAGCTAGGCTTTTGCTGTCAGATATTTTAAGCTCCTTGTCAACTTGGAACAATTTAAATCAATTTCTATAGCCATGTGGTAGTACACACCAGCTACCATGTTGCCTTTTTTCTTTCTTAAGGTACACACCCTACACACTGTCATCGACAGTGACACTTAAATTGAATAAGACATTCAGTGATCGCTTACATTTTAATATTTGTGTAACTGACATATTTCATAATGATACAGATATCAAAATATAAGGTCACGGGTCACCATAGTTTCTGTGCACAAAATTATGGTGAACTACAATTTTTTTTTTAAATACATGAATTTGTTTAAAGGGCCCCTTGTATCTTTGGGTCCCGGGGCCATGGCCCCAATGGCCCCTTTGTAAATCCGGCACTGAAGAAGGTCCTATGGGTTATTCATTTACGTGTGTATGGGTATCTGACCCCAATATTATAATTTTATTGGACGA